CAATACCGAGTTTCGGGGCCCTCTCAATGCTTCAACTGTCAAAACTTCGGCTACTCATCAGCAAACTGTAAACACTCCGCCCGCTGCGTTAAATGCAGTGGTGCCCACCAAACAAGGGAATGCACCGAAAACGTAGAAAAACCCACACAATGCTGCAACTGGGGAGGAGCAAATTTCAGACAATGCCCTGTTTTCTCAGCTCAAATGACCCTCAAATCCAAAACAAAAAACACAGCAGCTAAATTACCATCACCAGCCATTACGGCAAATTCTACACCTGCAGTTAAGGAACCCAGCAACTCGACCTCCTCTTATGCTTCAATTACTGCAAACCACTTGGACAAACCTAACAGCAAATCCAAAGATTCGCTCACCAAGCTTCTTATAGATACGATACAAAAAATATCATCATCCACAGATATCAAGGAAACCATCATGTCGGCCCTCTCGGCCATGCTCATGATTATCCATAATGTCTAACAATCTCCATATCCTATACTAGATCTGCCGTCTCCGAAAACGCCTCTAACTCCTTGAACTAGTTCAAAGGAAAAAAATCGACATTATTCTACTAAACGAGACGCATCTGAACAACTCCCAACAATTCAAACTTACAAACTACCACTCATCCATCACTAATCGTCCCCAACGGCTAGGAAATCGGCCACGGGGAGGCACAGCTATTAACCGAAAAATCGTTCACCACCAGATCAAGACCACTACATCTTCAATAGAAAATACCTCAATCCAAATTCAAATAGGCAACAAAGAATTAAGACTATCAGCGGTCTAAAAAAGACCTGATACTCCACTACTCACATCGGATCTCGACTCTCTGCTTAATACCTCCCACTACGTCGTCATAGCCGGTGACTTAAATGCTAAACACCAATTCCGGAACAGCAGGAGACATAATACAGCAGGAAGCACGCTCCCCAAACTCTCCGATAAGAGACGAGACATAGCTGCCCCGACTTCTCCCACTCACTATCCTGACAACCTAAACCACAACGCTGATACTAGACGTAGCTATTCTCAAAACAGGGAAACTAAGGTATACAATAGAAAATCTCACAGCCGAACTTTCTTCCGATCATACCCCTATCGTTCTTGAACTACAAGCCCATGGCACTGAAACCCTACCCTCCAGAGCTTTTAAACACGCGGATTGGACCAAGTTCAATCTCGATACAAAAAACATAAGCTTTGCTCTCAAGAAAATGCAAACTACAGATCACGTTGACCAAGCCATCACTGAACTCACAACAAAAATAGCTGCCCTCGTAAACAGTAACACCCATGTTACCAATCCAAAAGATCAAACCCGCAACCTGCCCATCAACATCCTAAACGCAATCCATAAAAAACGCAAATCGAGAAAAAACTGGCAACATACCAGAAATCCAGCTATAAAGACTTTACTCAACAGACAAACAGCCCTAGTCCATGATATAATGCATTCACACAGGGACAACGAATGGGTCAACTTTCTGAGCAACATAGACCCCACAAGTGAAGGCTGGACAAAGATCTATAAACTAAACAACAAACTCATGCACAAACGACCAGCTGCACATCCACTTTCGGACAATCAAAATATTCTACAATATGATGCTGTCGTCAAATCGGAATTATTCGCTGACTCAATGGAAAAACAATTTAAAACACCAGACCACACGACTCAGACTGACGAATTAGTCAAGTATGCCATTGAAGATCATTTTAAATTACCTTACATCAAGAACCTTTTCACACCTTTTTACTAATTTTTTCACACCCTTTTACTTTCTTTCTTCACACCTTTTTACTAATATTTTCCCAACTTTTTACAAATTGTTTCACACCTTTTTAATTTCTTTTCTCACACCTTTTTACTAATTTTTTCACACCTTTTTACTAATTATTTCACACCTTTATACCAACATTTCACACCTTTTTACTAATTTTTTCACAGCTTTTAACTAATTTTCATAAGTGTGAAAAAAGAATGTAAAAAGGTGTAAAAAGTTGGTAAAAAGGTGTGAAAAAAGAAAATAAAAAGGTGTAAAAAAAGAAATTTAAAAGGTGTGAAAAATAAGTAAAAAGATGTGAAAAAAGAAAGTAAGAATGTGTGAAGAAAGAAAGTTAAAAGGTGTGATAAAATTAGTAAAAATTAGTAAAAAGGTGTGAAAAAAGGTCAAAAGGTGTGATAAAATAAGTAAAAAGGTGTGAAAAAAGAAAGTAAAAAGGTGTGAAGAAAGAAAAGAGTAATTAAAAAGATGTGAAAAAAGGTGTGAAAAAAATTATTTTTTTAAATTAATTTATTAAATTTTTTACCTTTTTAATAATTTTTCACAACTTTTTACTTTCTTTTTTCCCACTTGATGTGTCTGACCTGAGCTGGAATTTTTTTAGGTGACTATATATTCTTACTTATTTAGATTCACCGTTTATGATGGTATAGTTCTGTATTCAAAATAAATCATCTGATAAAATTTTTTTTACTATCTAGATTTGGCAAATATGAGAAATTTTTATGTCAAGTATCAACAGATAGAAACTAACCTAAGTATTAATTAAACACAAATTTAGAAGTGTAGCATAGATTATATTCGTAGAAAAAAGTGATCAAAAAAATAAGAGTTGCAAAATTATCATGATAAAAAAAAATTTTAAAAATTTAAAAACAACACTGCGGTTGGATTGCTTACCTGATTAGCTGTAGGACATTGACTTCGATCCAACGAACTCAGATTGCTTACCTAGGTAGCTAACTTGATGCTAAACGATTTTCACTTGAGGTGACGGACTTGCTAAATATCCCAACATTAATTTCGAATTTACATTTTTTTACATACGAAAAAGCATCGGACATGCGACGGGAACCGTATTATTCAATTGCCGATTTTCGTGGGCGGAGTGAGATTTCTAGGCACTGAAACTGGAATTTCAAACATTCCAGCGTTGGAAACGAAACCTCCAAGACTTATCAAAAATCCTTATCACCTCCTAAATTTTTGTTTTTTGACCACCCATGACGTCAACAGGAGTGACTTCTATAAGTAATTTCAACGACCTTGTCGTCTGCATCGCCGAGTCTCACAAGCCCCCGAGTTTCACGACAGCGAGTTTCACTGGCAGCTAGTCTATTATAAAAGCTTAAGTAATTTTACTAACCTGATCGTTTTTCTGTGTTTTTCGATTTTTTACTTGTGCTGGTGTTCTAGTGACGCTACAATGCAAGCCGTTATCGTCATCTGCATAGCAAAGCAAAGCATATTTAATGGTCATGCCATCATAGTGTTAAATATAGGCGAATAGCAAAATTAAAAAATAAGCAAATGCAAAACCATTACTAAATGCTATAATATGAGATTATATATATATGGATAGAACTTTTGAATACTGTCACAAGTTATTTACGCAATTGTTTACTTTGCATGGTTTATGCAATGATCATTATATACCACTTTTATTTGCATTACTTCCAGACAAAAAAACTGCAACTTACGTAAATTTAATTAAAAATATCACACATTTGTGTAATGCACGTGAACTTTCTCTAAAACCAAATTTATTTATATCTGATTTTGAAGACGCAATTCATGTAGCATTGAGACAAGTCTGAGATGACACTAAAATATTTGGTTGTAGATTTCACCTAACTCAATCGTGGTATAGAAAAATTCAGGAATTAGGCTTATCCAACGTATATCAAAATAATAAAACAGAAGAAAGCAAGTGGCTAAACCATACATTTGGGTTTGCAATTTATTTCTCCAAATGAGGTCAGTAACTGTTTTATTGAAGATTTTATGTCATCGATTCCTAATGACATGAGATTTCAAAAATATGCTGATTATTTAGTTGACACATATATCTGTGAAGAGTCTACATTTCCACCAATAATTTGGGCTGCGAATATCGCGTCACTAACTCTCACTAATAATGCTTGCGAATCATATCATTCACGTTTTAATTCTGAGTTCTATCACCCACATCCTACTATTTACCACTTTTTGGATGTACTGAAATGATTTCAAACCGAAACTTTGATTAAAATTAAAAGTATACATCTTAAAAAACGAAATTCTACTAAAAAGTGGAAACTTTGGAAACTTTTCAACAAATATATGAAGACGTACAGACAAAGAAAATTGACAAAAAATGCTTGGTTTCTTCATTGAGCTATAAATATAAAAAAAAACGCAAGTAAGCTAAATATTATAAGTAGCTAGGTATTTTAATTCAAAAATTAAATGTTATATTACGAAAATTGTACATACTAAACGAAAATTTATATTTATACATTACAATATTTATACGTTTATTTATAATTATAACATGACTGATTTTTATATGCTTTAAGTAGAAGATTTACTTATTTAATATACATGGAGTTCGTGTTACTTGTGGCGCTAATTACAATTTCAATAAGGTGAACTATGGCGCAAATTACAATTTTTGTAGGTAAACGATGACGCAGATTACATATTGCCTTTTTATTTAGTTTTATTTGGCGCAAATTACCAAAATACAATTTTAGATGTGGCGCAAATGACATATATATTTTTTTTTTTTTTGAGGGGGGGGGTGTTTTTGGCGCAAATTACATAAGCCCACAAAAACAGTCCGATTCCCTAAAAATTAAATTACATATATACAAAACCTATCTAAGGCCAATGTTTACATACGCAGGACCAGTATAGGCCTCCAACATTGACCAAAATTCTTGGAAACAACTGGAGAGTACTCAATCAAGAATATTAAGAACCATCACAGACAGTCAATGGTTTGTTAGAAATACAACCATCAGGAACTTTGCAGGAATCCCTTCCATCAGACATCACATACACATTGAAACATCAAAACTAAAATCCACCATCTCAAATTCAAAATTTCTACATATCTCAAATATAAGCACAAGAACCTCACCTAACCAGCTATTCATAAACAGACCAATCTCCTAAATCTCCTTCTAAACAGAAAATAGCTAATTCATGAACCATATCACGCCCAACATGAAACCCTCTGAAAGAAGCATCAAAGCTTGGAACAGAGAAACTAAAAATAAAGCAATGCAAAAAAGCACTCGACCGACCAAGACACAGTTCCTTCTCCACCTTCCTAGACTTCACAACCAGTACAAATACTCACTGCTGACGTCTATGAAGAAAGGAAAAACTAACAGCTATCGCCGAATATAAGATCGAGACCGATCACCGCCATTCTCGAAGACATCGCCGATTCCGCATCGCCAGCCAACCAAGAAGAATACTACTGACGCTGGTCAATACCTACGGGCTTCGAACTCGTGACCCCAACCGTCAAATCATACGGACGGTTTAGCCCAGGACCCGCGGTACATAGCGAGCTTGAAGCGTTGCAGTCCATCAACAGGGGATCGGATAGACTGCCACCGTCAGACCTCGAAGACCACTGGCGGGAAGAATAAAATAGCCTTTGTCAGGGCTACCTAAACGTTAGTCAGTCTCCCCCAAGCGCGCCTGCCTAGGCCACGCTATCCGGACGGACCCACGAGTCAACGCCACTTTTCTAAGCGGGCCGAACGTGGCAATCCGTTCCCTTATTGTACGGAACCAAAAAACAATCTTCACATACCTGTCAAGATGGTCTCGACTCCGTGAATCGCACGGATATTCATTTATCAATAATGTATATTCATTATTTTGTAATTACCAATGTTCTTGAACGTAGACCTATAAACTTAACTACTTAAACTAATTTGGAACCACAGATATAAAAAAACATACATATTAATATATTATACCTACATATTATATCTGTGCTTGAAACACGGATTACTATTATTAGCTTGAAGCAATAAATATCGAGTTCCGCAAAAAATAATAATTATAAATAGTATTTGATAAAAACAATATTGATATCAAATAAGCTTAAAATTAATAGTCTAAAATTACAGTGAATTATAATAATTACAAAATATTAGTTCACATATAAGTTAGTATAGTATTATAAGTGATCGATACTGACATTCTATTGAAATTTGTTTCAAGTGTATAAAAAATAAATAAATAAATGTAACATACATTTTGTGTAATAATTTGTATAAAATACTAGCTGATCCCGTGCACTTCGTTGACCGTTAAAAATGCCATCTCTATATTCGACACACGATGGTGATAATGCGAGCAGTATATTATCAGGTAGGCAAGGCAATCCACCTGTGGTGGATTGCAGCCCCGCTAGGTGCTAGATTACCATCTATATTCAATATGATTATTGCTAGGATTTTAATGACCTAAAAAATACACAAAAATGCAGTAAAAAAAATACAAAAAAAGACCTAAAAATGTACTTGGAAAACCCAAAAAAATTTAATTTTAAAATAAATGTTACTATTAATTATTAATTATGATATATTCATTTTTATATTACACAAAAAAGGAAAAAATTTGTTTTAAGAAGTAAATTAAACAAATATACTCAAACTTGAGTTGACTTGTGAGTGTATCGTATTGACTACTAAATCTAAGCTATTGTATATGACTATATACCTATATATTTTTGGGTTAATTCGATATTTAATCTTATTACCGGATAAAACGACAATTAATTATATTACTTTTACGATTCATATCCACTTCGCCAAATCCCAATTCAACGACAACTCAGTTTCCCGACCAATATACCAGTTTTAAAAATATATTTTTAGTATTATTTTATTAATATAGGTATAGTTTAAATTTTCCCGATTCGCCGACAGCAGACAACAATTTTATCGAAAACGGGTATAACAGCAATAATATGTAAGTTGTCGATATCAGTTCAAAGGTAGGTACTATTAAGTAAGTACCAGTAAAACTATAAATTAATAAAAAAAAAAAGGCGTTTCAATTGTATGCATGTTTATACAGCAATATCTGATCTGCCCGATGAACCACTGTAGGCAACCAATAAACAAAAAAAAAAATACCAATTTTTACTAAATATATTTATATTTCTCCTATAACCAATAGCAACCGTATATAAGCAAATATTTCCTTCGTAAATCCCTGTTTGAGCAACTCCCCGGGTCGGACCTATCGGGTCCAATTGTAAATCTAATCCATCCAGGGCGTCACCCAAACGTATACAAAAAAATTCATTCAAATCGGTCCAGCCATTTAGAAGGAGTTTAGTGACATACACACGTATAGTAGAATTATAGCTATAAAGATATAAGAAAAAAAATTTAAAATTGGGTGTAAACAAACATTATTATTCAAAATGTATTGGCAAGCACTAAGCAATCATAATTTTGAAAAGGGGGGCTTAAGATCCTAGCTACAGCACTGGTACTAACCTAACGTAAAGTGTGTAGGTACTTAAAAACTTTTAAATATGTTAAACAATAAAGGATTTATTTGTTAAAATCAATCTGATAACATGTTGTCTATATATACCAAAAATAAATTTTAAAAAGCATTATATATCTTTATTTAGCATTAAAATAATTAAAAGCGCGGTAAAATGGAGCAATGTGTGAATGCGTAAAAGTCGCAGAATCGAAAACTTCATTAGGCTATACTATATAAGCCTCTAAACAACAAAACTATAAGTTAGACTGACAAATTGTGATTACACCATCGTTTTAAATCAAACTTGTTGTACACACGTACACACGTTTCAAAAAAAAAAATCAAGATAAATACCTAGTTGTGGAAAATTAGAGTGACGTTTGAATGCGTAAGAATCTCAAAATAGCGAACTTTCTCAGGCCATTGCTTTTAAACGAAATCCTACAGCCAAATTCTAACTTCCACCATAATTTTTCGAAGGCAAGCCTTCCTGACATTTTTTGTGCTTAAAATAGCAGGCACTGATATGTTTGAAGATTTTATGCACGATTATAATATTGGTAGTCGCCGAAAGAAAATAAAACCCAATGGGCAATGATCAGTGTTGTATTCGGGGAACGTTACACGAAACTACGAAAGCACTGCGCAACATTTTTCTTTTATGGTGCACTCCGTGGTGTATACCTATTAGGTTGAACAGGACGTAAACAACTGGCTAGTGGTTACGACCGTAAGCACTAAGCGACTACTTGCAAAGTTGCAACACATAGTTAGCTACTCAGACTTACAACCTGCTAATATTAAGTTGTTTCGTGTTTTTTTAAATAAAGATATTAACGAGTATCGTTAATATTAATGTAAAATTGTAACTACTTCCATTAAACATGTAAGTATAACGATTGACAATTCAATATTCCTTAAACTTATAAAGTTATACAAATAATGAAATAACTATTCAAATATACCCTAAAAAGGTATTCTAGTAAAAATGTATGATCTAGTCGTGGATCTAGAAAAATGTTCAAGAAGGGGTGGGGCACTGGTGCACCACTTTAATCTATGGGTTTTTTTGTTCACCCCCCCCCCCTCAGAATTTGGTTCAGCTCCCCATGTAGAATGTACCATTTGATATAACTCTCGCGTGACACAGAATATAAGGTTACCTATACGACATGCGTACTCCGCATTTCCGTCGCACCTACTCGGAGTGTCATGTGAAAAGGCTGAAGAGTATCTTACATATTGTTTTCGATTTCGTCCGAATGATATTATTATTATTCATCACAGTTACTGCAGTTACCTATATTTATACAGATTAAGTTTGGTTTTGGTTTCAGACGTTATTTAACTATATTATGACTTATAACTTATGAATTAATGAATTTGTCTCCGTTGTTTTAAATCATTATTAATACACATTTATTCAGTAACATGAAAAAATATAAGGTTTGAAAATAAATTTGATATTAGTTCATTATATATCATTGAAACAAAAAAAAAAAACAAAACATGAGATAATCAATGATCAATGAATGTGCCAATGAAAATTAATTTGAAAGGAAAGAAAATACAATTATACTGTAATGAATTTAAACATAATAATGATGGAGCTCCCTATTTATATTTTGTGAAAAATATGACTGAGTTGGCGTAAAAATTAATTGAAATTTGTGAAACATGAGTACCCAGGTATTAGGTATTTAACTTTAAATTATTTGTAATAATTTATTCTTTTTGAATAATAGCATTTTTAGTAAAATTAAAAATTAAAAATGTTTATACTCGTACTTTTAGACTCTTGAGTGAAGTGAAACGTAGGAAGTCAGAATTTTGACAAACTGCATGAAACATTTTCTTATAATATCTAAGATTTGAAAACATAATATAAGATTTCTCATAAGTTTTTCTCTTTTTAACAAAAAAAAAAATACTAAACTCAAATTAATTTTGAATTCAAATTTTTAAGACATTATTTATTCGACCATAAGCTAACGATTTCTCATCGAACAATTTTCTTATTCTGCTGTAATTCAAAAACAAACAATATTGTAATTGCACTTGAAATTTTCAACAAATATTTCTATTGGCATTTTCTATACATAAATACATAATACATTTAAAAAAATTGTTCAACTTTTTTTGACTATTTATATAGACAATTTCCATTTTTTAATTTTTTTTTTCTATTTTTTTCTATTGATGAAAATTGTTTGCTTCCCCAAAAAGCTTTAAAATTCAATACAAGGCTCCTCCTAAGTTATTATAATTACAGTTAAAAATAGTAAAGATACATATGCGTGATTTTTTTATAAGCATTTAAAGTTTGTATTTTGAAAAAAAATGTTTAAAATTACAAACATTTTACAAATTATGGTGTGGTAAAACAATTTTAAAATGTTTAATTTTTATAGCTTAGGATTTAAAATTTAAAACCTAAAATAAACCAAGTTTCTCATAAGTTTAGTTTATACCATATCCAAAAAATCTAAAAAATATATTAACACTGACTTTTTATAGACATTCTAAGTTAAAATTTGGACAAAAAATAACGATATGTTAGTAATATTGATGTAATCCAAAAACATTATTTGTGGGGATTTATAAAATTATAAATATTACTATTTGCAATGCCATTTTCAAAATATTTAGATTCATTTTAATCTACTACCTATTTGAACCATAAACCTATTCACACTGAATTTAATTGAAATAATGATTTAAAAAACGGGTACCAAACATTCTAAGGTAATAAACTCCTGGCTCCGGGAACCAAAATCTTTCCATCTTAATATTGACCGAGGACGAAACGTCGGTTACCGTATCCATATAAGTAACTAAGTATATTTAAATAATATTATTGAATTAGAAAGAAAAAGAACACTGATTAAAATTTTAAAACTTACAACCATTGAAGTTTATTGTCAGGTAGAATCTTATTAAAGTTCTTATGACGTATACTCACTCCGACTTAAGTACTAAACAATTATAACTACCAATATTGTTCAGCAGTAGGTAACACCTTCCCACATTTCTTCTAATCAAGCTCGGTGCTAATTGTTGTTTTCATGTATAAAAATACCTGCTTCAGTGGTTTGGTCTATTTAACTCCAACTACCATGTGTATCTTCAATCTTATCAAATAAGGTTTACTGTTTTCATATTTTTAGGGATCTGAGTAGAAGTGCAACCTGTTCGAATGCAATTGATTTTTCATCTGTTGATTATTCAAACTATAATGATGCAAATAACATTAATAAATCTGATTCTGATACTACATTAAACGCTGATGATAAAGTAATATATTATTAAAAAATAATATTTAATAGAGTTTACAAACTGAATAGTTTTGATTTTTAAATATTAGGATATATTTCTCTCAATCTATTGGAAAAATGGTATGCTGGGAGCTGCATCTTATAATAGCCAAATATCTGAAGTAATAAAAAATCATTAAAATAGTATATTACTGTTATCCATTTATGACCATATTGTGCATATCTAAATTTAGTATTTATAATAGGCACCTAGGTAACTAATGTATTTAATATCTTTTTTGGGGAAATTGTAAATAGATACAAATTTTGCACGATGTCATAGAAAGTAATTTAGACTTTAAAATGTTGAATGCTTTATTTATGCAAGTTAGACCTGCGTAAGTTGAATTTATTAAACTAAACTATTATATAATTATACTTAAGAAAACTGCCTACAATTAAAATTGTAATATTTGTATTGTAGAAATATCGTAGTATGTAGTTTACAAGGTGGACATTTTTTAAAAATTATTAAGCAGTTAGCTCATAATGGCAAAATAAATATGTATTCTAGTCCAACTAGTACTGATGATTATAAATCAGATGAGATAGTGCATATATTACCCAAACAATGTTTCAGTAAGTATCTATATTTACTACTTTTATAAAATACAACATAAAATATTTTATTATAATTTATAAGTTATAACTATATGATTAAAGAATTATTATGTATATTAGCATATTACCATCTATACAACTATAACCAATATAATGTGGATTCAAAATTCTACATTAAATTAATTTAAAAATGATATATTTATAAGATCTGTTAATTGAAAAACATGACTGTAAAACATAATTCCTCAACATATTTTTTTAAGAGCCAATTAGGTACTTAGCTACCCAGCAAAAGTTGATAAAAACAGCTATAACATAATATATGATATTATACAATATAGTTTATAATAAGTAATAGTCTTATTACATTTTTACACATTAATAATATTTAAAAAGGTACAATTTTTTTCTGTATAGATACAATTATGCATAGTACATTTTTATTTTTAGATTTCAAAACATGTGAGCAATTAATTTTATCCATGTCATTGGCGTCTGCTCCGAAAAATGAAAAGTCCCGCAAAATATATATACGCAGCTTAATAGATTTCACTCAAGAGTTAGCTGTATGTGCATTAGGTGCATTACTACATTTCTTGGACACTCCATTGATAAAATTAAATTTACCAACCAACTTCACAATAATGTCATTAAGAATTCTTAACATGGATAATCTAGTTTGGCTTGGTATTAGTACATATGAGTCATTGCAAATATTTTCAGTACATGAACACCCATCTGCATACAAATGGGCCAAAAATTCAACTAAAGAAGGCCCAAGTATTTTTAGTTTATTGAATCGGTGTAACTCAGTTTTAGGTTCAAAGTTTTTAAAGAATATTTTAGCCCAACCTACCAAAAATATTGATGTTATAAGATATAGACATGAATTTATAGAGTTTTGCATTAAACCTTGTAATGAAAGTGTAATACTCTCATTGATTAATTGTATCAAACATTGCCGCTGTGTGTTAGTAAGTATTTTATTTTCTTAATAATTGTAATTTATTGCTTGGATTTAATAATTGTTTGTATCAATTATACAATGTAGAGTATAAAATTTAAAATATATATCATACAATGAGGACAAGTTTAAATTATTATATATTATAATTTATAATATATTAAATACATGTATTATTTTAAAATTAAGATAAGGTATAACAAACGTAAATAAAATAACATTTTATGTTTTTAATAATATAATGATTTTAGTCTTCTGTAGTAAAAATTAATGCTGGTAATGCCTCAATGTACCAATGGAAATTATTATATCAAGTAAATATTAAGTATACTTTTGAAATTAAAATTTATTTTTATACAAAAATTAAATGAGTACAATCTGCACCATTTTTACTTACTAAATGTATATCTGATTATATATTTCAGACAGTTATAAATGCTGTAACAATTGGAGAAATTTGTGAAAGATATTCAGAGCAAATTACTTTTTTTACAAAGGTATGTTTTTTCTAGGCAGTAATAAATGTGATATTTAAACATTATTCTTTAAATATTGTACAGTGTACTTGAAAATTGTAATGATTTTTCATTGTTGAACCACCTATTTGAGAAACAATGTAAGTCCATAAAAGGTAATTCTGAGAAAACAAAAAAAAACTGTTTTTACGTTACCAGTGATACATGGTTATTTCTCTTGCATACTGAATATTTACAGTGGTAAAATTAAATTTTTTTTTTTGCAAATGTTCCCACATGATCCGTCTATAATTTGATAACATATTCCACACAAAATCTCAATTTCTGATATTTTGTGACTTACATCGTTTCTTAAATAGGTGGTTCAGTAACAACTATAGCAGAGTATAATATAATTATAGATTAAAGAAACATTAAAAGATAGTCTTTATACTATGGTTAATTCTATGTCCTGTATAATTGACTTTGAAAAATCCACTACCCAAGATAGATTTGTAGTAAAACCCGGATTCATACCAGAACTTGATGAAAGTACAGTAACATCTTTAAAATAACTTGTATAATGTAGATACTTATTGGTCAGGTATTGTTAAAAGATAGTTAGATAGATAATTATTATTTCATAGAAAAATCAAAAATTGAAAACATATCTGAACTATTAGATGAAATAACATTAAAAGAACTACAAGAATTACCTTCATACATTAACGAGTGTTCAATACGTAAAATGCCAGAAATTGGATTTCTATTGTGTCTTCCATTTTGGAAACCTTCTAATGTGATGACTGAAAATGATTATAAAATCCAAAATTTAGAATTTAAGGTACCTATATTTTTTATTTGTTTAATTTAAAATGTATAGTAACTTCATAATTAAGTAGTGTATTATTATTTATTACTTCAGTGAATTGTTTAAAATATAGAATATCTTTGTATTGATTGTAGTTTCATCTGACAGATAATGTATATTACAAAACTTCAAGGTGTTATGGTTAGTACACTACATGATTTGAATAAATAATTGTGTAGTAAGAGTATCCAATCTTAAATCAATGTTTTTAGAACTTGATAAATATTTTGGTGAAATTGAATCAAGTATTATTCAAGAAGAAATTCAAATTATGACAAAACTGTCAGAGCTTATTATACAGAACTGGATAAGCGATCTACATTTAATTTTAAAATTAATTGCTGAATTAGACTGGTATGTGTGATATAAATACTACATATTATAAAGTCTAATACACTAATGATATTATTTCTGCATAAATTAAATTTTTTTTTTTTAAATCTTTTTTTTACTACCAATATTATATTGCTATTAAAGCTTAAGCATTATTAAGTATTTATTACCTATTTATCATCCCCTCTCAAAAACCTACATCTGATTGTTCTAATAAAAAAATGTATTTGTTTTTTTGAGATCTAAGTACCTAACCTAGTATTTAAACGTTTTAAACTGTGATCTAATAGTATTTTCATAATTATTATTTCTTGTATAGATGGGTATACAATCAATTGTTATCATATTATGTATAATATTATTTTGTTTAATCTGCCATAATGCATATTATACAATTTAAATTATGCAAATATTTTCATCTAAAAGTTGTTTGCACACTTAATATAAAATAATTCTTCATTTAACAAACAAATAATTATTAGTTTAATAGGGTTTGCTGATGTTGCCAAAGATTTGAAATTAATAAAACCTAATATACTTCCTAAAGAACACTGTATAATAAACATAATTAATGGTCGACATATTTTACAAGAAAAATATGTGAATAAATTTGTGCCTAACAGTTATTATTCTTCAAAAATAAATCAATGTATCAAAGTTATAACAGGATTTAATTCAAGTGGAAAAAGTATTTACTTAAAGCAGGTCCAACATTTTTGTTACTTAATGAATTTACTTTCCTAATAAGCTGGTTATTTCATATTTGTAAATAATAATAGGTAGCATTAATATCATATCTATGCCATATTGGATGTTACATACCAGCTGAGTACACAGAAATAAGTATATTAGATCATATTCATACAAGAATTCAATCAACTGAATCTGTAAGCTCTTTAATGTCAGCTTTTATGGTTGATCTAAAACAAGTTAGTACCTATTAGTACCTACAAATTAAACATGATTTATTAAAAAATCAATATAAACCTCATATAACAAAAAAAGAAAATGATTTATATGATTTACTTATAACAAATAGATGTCAGTGGCATTAAATGAATCAACATGTAGCTCTCTCGTAATATTAGATGAATTTGGAAAAGGTACATCTGAAGTCAATGGGTTAGCTTTGCTACTAGCAAGTATTTGTCATTTTGTGCATAGACCATTACATTTATTGCCTCACATCATTGTTTCAACTCATTTTCATTCTTTACCAAATCTTCTTCAACAAATAATAAATAAAGATATTTTAAATGACAATATAAAAGTGAGTACCTACATAGTAGACAACTGTTTGAATAATATCATAAATAATAGAAATTAATAATCAACTAGTTTTTTAAATAAATGTCTTCTATTTAGTACCTTAGCATGAGCCACACGGTAGAATACTCCAAAATAGTATGCTTATATAGAGTAGTAGATAAAATAAAAAACCAAAATATGAGTATGGCTCACAGCATAGCAGCACAAAATGGTTTACCAACATGTATAGTTGAAAGAGCTAATAAGGTATAAAATAATGATTATGAATTAGTAAATTATTATGAATAATTAAAATATAAATTGAACTATGTATAAGGTTCTTCAATCAATCCAACATGATGAATGTGTAAGCCCAATGACAGAAAATCTCAGATACAAATTATTTTCTAGGTATTACAACAAAAATAGTTTTATTTTTAACATTTTTAGTTAAGTAGGTATTTACATTGTTTAATATATCATACATTCAAAATCTTATAAAATGTATTAATACGTAAAACTGACAGATCCCTGTGCAATTTTATTTGTGTAATAAGTTATAACTACATACTATAGTGTAAGGTATATGGTTATAAGAGGGTCACTGCAATGAATGGTGTTAAATTTGAATTCAATGATATAAAACCATTGCATACAAAAACGATTCTGAGCGAAGCGGTCTGTCAGGCTATAATATTACTTAGTAATTTTGCATATTCGGTGATATTATTGTGATTAAAGTAATTTTTTTTTTTTATTTATTATAATTAAAATGTTTCAACAAATTACATGTTATACAAGTTTGTTATTTCAATTAATACAATTTACAATTTAGAATTTAGAATTTAATTGGATAAAGTAATTTATTTTACTAGTAAGCATTAGTACTACCTACGCAGTAGATTAAATTCAATTTTTCCAAACTTGAAGTCATTGTGAGTATAAAATATAATAATATACTTTCAGAGTTTCAAGTATCCAAAAATAATATTTTTAATTTACAACAAAATAACATAAATCATTATTCTTGGTTACTTAATATGTAATTTTGTCCACATTTAATTATTTGATGAATGTAGAAAAACTTATAAAGATTCTTGTATTACATTTTAAAATCTAAAACACAAATAGAAATATTTTTATGAATTTCTAACTCAAAATAATTTCTATGGTCATAACATATGACCAATAATTGTAATCAGTGCCATGGGTCTAACATTGAACTAGGATCCATTACCATAACACACAAAAGAGACAACATGACAACTGTTGATGTAAATAACAGCTTTAGATACTATCTATAGCCGCGATGTAAATAGTTTTATTATGTAAAAATTAGGATGATATGGTTTTCACTAGAATTTTTAAGTATGTGTATGGGATGGGAACTTCATTCAGTTTCATGACAATTTATTACTGACTTAATCTAGCATACATTTAAATTTGAAACTTTTTCTGTTCAATTAGGAGGAAACATTTTATTGAAAAAGTACTAGATCTATTGCAAGACAAAATGACAGATGATACTTTCAAAGGACTAGTAAATGACATGGAAAATATAAGGTATCCGTAAAAATGCTAGAATTAAGCTTAATCATTTTGTTATATTTTCTTCATTCAAACTTTAACAACATAAATTATATGATTATAAAATGTAAAAACAATTAGAATATTAACATATGAAATTTAATTCAAGCTTATATCTAATTTTTAGTAACTATATATTGTATTAATTACATATAAAATTGGACGGGACTGTTAATAATATAAGATTATTTTACTAGTCTAATATGTTTTAACATAATATTTAAGTAATGGGTACTAATAATATTAAGTTATAAAGTTGTATTCTTACACCTAATAAAATGCAGTTTATACTACAAATAAAAATAAATGTATAAAATTATTTTCATTAAATTTTATACTGGGTAACTTATCAACATATAGAAAGATAATTATATTTAATTATCTTAATACATTTTAATATACTGAAACATCTGAAGAGTAATGTAAAAATAATATAAGCTATAACAACAAATAAATTTGGTTAAGAACATTTGGAATAATTCTAGAATTTATATAATATAGATAAATATAAATCAAAACAAGTATTTTGTTTTCAAATGGAAAATTGATTTAAAATTGGAACTTTTAATAATTTTTAAATCAATACGTATAAATTACAGAACACCCGTTATTTTAATTTGTAATACATGAAATCTCAAACATGAAAGAATAAAAAATTGGAATATAAAAGTAAGAATTGAAACTATCAGGGTAAATGCACAATAACAATGATGATCAGTTTTGATATAAACATGACCATATTTAAAAAAAATATAATAACATTACTTCATTTACATAGAAATAAACTAAACATATAAATAAAATCATTTATTTTAAAATAGGTGGTATAAAAACATTACCATCTATGGGTAAATAGGATAAATAATTTAATTAATTAATAAACCTTTGGTTGTATGTAGTAATAATAGATGACTTTTTTCAAGTTTGTAATATTTTATGTTGATGTAACACCTCTTCGAGCAACTAATAAATTTAGTATTTTATGCTTCTTAATATAATCCACAGCTTTTTTATGGGTTACCATTGTAAAATCATATCCATTACACTAAAAGAATTTAAGAAAAATAAAATAAAATAATTTATACTTAACTATTATTGTTTTATAGATAATATATGCTGGTACTTGTAATATTTTGTCATGTATACGTAATCCAGACCTAGATGCGGGACTTCCATCATGTACTTCAGTTACATAAATACCCTTAAAAATTAAAATTGTAAAATGGTTGAATTAAATATATATTAAATACTCGACAAATCTAAGTTCTCACATTATCTGTATATCCTTGAGGACTTTTCCTAAAATCTTGATCAATGCCTCCACCAATTTTGAACCCGCATTTTAATAATTCACGACCATCAGTATCAATTGCAGATTCTTTCGTTAAAGTAATAGGTATCTAAAATGATAGGTAATAAATATACTTAAAAGTTATATACACTAAATTGTTGTATAGGTACACTTCAAAGTTATTAATAAAAGTATTGGTTTTAAAGTATTTTAAAATAGGTACTTACACTAAGGCATTCCATGGCGGTGCCAGGTTGATGAGTGAAAGCCATTTTAGCACACATTGTGTATGGTTTTTGATTAACAGAGCTCGATGGGAAAACACAGGGACGAAACCTTTCAGATAGGTACCAAAGTTATGTTATTACTTCTAACACAAATATTATTGTTAGATGTCAGTTTGTCACAATACAATTAATTACGGCGTTAGTTATTAAGTAGCATATTCAATATTGAATGCTGAATAGAATTATAGAAATATGTGTGGCAGTAGTATCAAACCATAGTATCCAACTATCCGATGCTGTAGAGCGTAGATGTAACTGTTAACTGTAAAGTGTAGAATGAATACTATCAGCTCTTCGGCTTCTCACAACGGTGTGTCACTGTGGTTTGTGACTGTGGTGTTATTGTTAAATATATCACGGTGACGTCATACGATTACTAAGTCTTATCACCAATCAAACGTTTCTTACTTTTATTGTTAAATTAATAGGTAGATAATATGGGTATTATCATAAAGGCTAAAATATAAAATAAATATATTTTATAAATAGAATTCTAGTCTTATGGGTATTAAATCCAGTGGCGGATCCAAGGGAGGGGTAAAAGGGTAAATACCCCCCCCCTTGAGCTTATTATATTTAAATTTTATAAATTTATTTTTAAAAAAAAATGTCGGTTGAATTTTTTCGTTTATTTTATAAAAATGTTGTCATTGATCCCAGTTTGTAAGAATAAATTCTAAATGGTGAATATTAATAAGGAAATAATGAGTAATTAATGTTTATATTAATAAGCATATTATTAAGTAGGTATGAATAGTATCTGATGGATATATTTTTATTACCCCCCCCCCCTTGATGAATTTCTGGATCAGCCCCTGATTATATCATATTTTTAACCTAACCTCAAGAATCATCTGCTACGATTTAATAATACTCCAAATGTATTACTTTGAAGTTTGAACCATGAAGAATAAAGATATATGTATATGTATACATACATCTATATTCTTCATGCTTTGAATCACGATGTAGATATAACTAGATAATACAGTGTATATTATAGAAACTCCACAGAATATGTATACATATTTTTATATATCTGTGTCCTGTGGGCTGTGAGTAACTGGGCGTCGAAAAGTGAGTCGTAATTTGACGACATTGTCCGCCAGGAGCGCTAAGAAGGTCGATTTTTCAAAAAATACCGTGTAGCGGTATACGCATTTAAATTTTAGGAACTAAAATTCCCATTTTTCCTTAATTATTTTGGGTTTTCACATTTCTAAAAATGACTGTAATGAATCAAAAATAAGCTTGTACAGTTGTACGTTGCTATTCATGATACATGACCTTAGAATAATATATTAACTTAGTTGTAGTTTTAATGGATAGTAATTGACGATAAACGGAAAAAAAGTCTCATATCCACCTACATATCATCTACCTATCATACATTCATACGTATCCAGTTTCATATTAGAACGGTTGTACACGAATGTAATTCAAGTGTGTAACCATGGAACTTTCTTAAGTCAAACAAGGGAAATAATATAATTGCACTAGACGGGCATACTTATACTATAAAAAAGATATGCCAAAGTATAAACCGATGAAAATGTTCCAAAAAACTTCAATGAAATGTTCAGCAATGCTAATTACCATTTTGAAAATTACAAAAATCATACGATTTGAAGAAGAACACTGTCATGGTGCTAATCAGTGGCGTATATAGGGGGGCCCCCTAGGCCAGAGTCCATAGTGAAATTGCAGGTTCAATTAAAGCATTGCATGTATAATTACACTGTTAACAGTTTTTCACCATGATTAAGTTAGCCGGTTGATTAAAGTCTTTTTTGAGGAATCAACAAGGAAATGTTATATTGACGGGACTTGCTTTAATGACTTATTGACTTTGATGTTAAACTCATAGTAAGATAACATTAAAATATACAAACGACACTGTCAATATTTTTAAAAAAAGAAACAAAAAATTAATTTTACATAATAATTATAAAATTGAATTGCGCAATTTTTATTTGAACTGCAGTATAATATGTCATAATATTATTAATTATATAACCACGCAGCTGCTCCCTTAAAAATGTATAATTATGGCTATGCTGCTTGACTAGTGATAATTGATAAATTGGCCCATACTGAAAATAATTCGTATATATGCCACTGGTGCTAATAAAGGTGCAATAAGAGCCATGAAAATCAAACAAATGGTAAAGGATTGTTCAATTCAGACTTGTAACAATCCAGGACAAATTGTCAATCAAGCTGTATTTTATAGTAACAATTTTTTTTTAATAATTATTTAAAGTTCAAATATTGACAAAATACGTAAATATGACGAAAATTTGCTAATTATTTTGAGTTAAAAATTCATAAAATTTTTCTTTTTAAATCTAACTGACATACCGTCTTTGCTCATACTGAGGTTGAAAATCGATGCATTATTTCAAATACTTATCGTGGACACATACACAAAAAAAAAATCAATACATTTAATCGCTCCACTCAGAATTTAAAAATACCATAACCTATGGGATATGAATAATCATAAATGTCTATAATGTGGAGTATTATTACTAACAGAAAAATAAATTAAAATTCATCATTATTTGTACCATGGTTTTAGATGAGTGGACATCTTGTGGAAATGAAACATTTTTATTGAAGGATAATGGTCCAGAGTCAAGTGAACGGATTATAATTTATAATATTTGCTTTAGATAGTTATAATAAGACATATTTTACACATCTTTTTTTCTGAGACTTTTTTCGGGGAACTTTTTTTCCTATAATATCGTAATTGACGGGGTTAAGCTTAAGAGTAGCTAAGGTCCAGAGACCAGAATTTCCATTTCATATTTTTAAGATTATATATTGTTATGATTAATCGGGATCGTAAGTGCAGATTTATAAATATGGGTTGTATACTTATTACTTTTTAGTACATGAGTACATCTGAGTCTGCGTGTCTTATTAACTGTTATTGTTGGTAATCCTATTATTTATGATCATTAATAAATAATAACTCAAAAGCAGAATAAATAAAAATACCGCTCATCCCTATATTAATATTTAAATTTGATATTAACTTTAAGTATCATTATGATTCTCTTCACTTATAAGTGCTGCAGTGCTGGAGAATAATACCAGATGCAAGTATTGCAATTACGTTATTTATTACCTTCCTCCAGGTGTTCAGAGGGCTCTCGAGGCCGTGTGTTCGAGAATTCGATCAAATACACTGTACAATATAAATGTATAGGCAAATGTACATATAATATAATGCAGTCAATAATAATATATTTTACATTAAATGTCTTACCTGACTTGTAGCTGTCTCTGGGTTATGCTGTAGCCTGTAGAAGTTTTAGGTGACAAAAATTAATTATTCAAAATACTCGAATCAAAATAATACAACACACTGATCATTGCTCGTCATGAGGAGTCCAGGTTGTCGCTCGTAGGATTCGGTATAGAGAAGTTGTTACTCTGGTGGTGCTCATGCACTGGCGAAGGGACGACCCTGTTGTGCCAACCAGAGAGTGATAGGCGGGCAGGCGGATTCATCAAAAGCATGTTTTGTGCATCCGAGAGGTATAGATTTCTCTTCTGCGACAAGGACCCTTTTTTACCATATCTTTTCTCTGGCAGTATGTAAGAAACCTACACGCCCTACGCTTTATCGTTACAAACATAAGTATACGTGTCAATTTTTTAATCCGTGACCGTATATTATAAGTAGACTATTTTTGTCTGTGAGTGACTGACAATAATTTATTGGGGTCGGGAGATTTCCGATTTGTGCTTGCGACAGTTTATTACCGTTTTAAAGAATTGCTTTAATGATGTAGAGCATATCATTACAGATGTGTGAATATAAATCATTATAATTTCTTACCTGGTTGAAGTCGATTGGATGATTGGATTGATTGAATGACAATGGAATGAAAACGAGAACTTATTATTTTGATGTTGGAATAATATAAGAACACAGTTATTGTATTTAAGTCACGATTGACGATATTAATTTGATACATCACAATTCATAACAAGAAATGAAGGTCAATAATTGATTAAGTTAATAAGTGAGAAAAGACGGTGTAAGCTGTAAGAGACAAATTGGCTGTTCGAAACAGGGTAGGTTGCTGAAGTCAGATTAGCTGTGGAATTGAAATTGGGTTTTAATTATATTTATATTGTTGTTATTTATTTTAAAAGGTACACAGGTACAAAATGTGTTATTGTTACATTTTGTGTTTTTAATTACATTGCACATACATATAGTTATTAGTATTTTGTACTTGATTTATAGGTCATAGTAAAGTAAATGATACACTTAGTTTATTAGGTTTATGAATGACATTTTTAATGGTAATATGATGATATTAAGTTATGAAGTAAGTATTGTGAATATCATTACATTACTTACTTAGAATTTTTTACGAATTGGTAACTACCTTTTTAGTATGATTTGACTATGCACAGCAAAAAAAAAGAATTTATTTTATTTTCTTATTTATTATTTGAAACGTATGAAAATAATGCATAGGTATATATTTTGTTGTAAAACTAATAGAACAAATAATTGGTTTACAAAAATGATAAAAAAAAAAATTATACAAAAATTTACATAAAATAGTCTGTGAAAATAAATAATTCACTAACAAAAAAAGACTTATAAAAATGAATAACAACTTATACAATTTCTGAGTTGTAAGTAAAATTTACAAAATTAAATTCGGGTCTAAAAATACCAATTTGCTAGTGTAGTTTCTCTATTTTCTTTTAATAATAAGTGCAAAATTAGTTTTTAAATTTTTAATTAAAGTAATAATTGTCATTTTGTTCATTTGTAATCAGTGTATAAGAACATAATTTTCAAACATCTCGTACAAATGCTCTTTCTTGCCAACGTCTATAAATTACACAAATACACAATACATATTATTATATTATTATTATTATTATTTCTATATTATTATACTTATTATTATTAATCGATCGATATATCAACACAGCAGTTAAAGCGTATAGTACAAATTATAATTTGATGAAAATCAGCAGTAATTATTACAAATATATTTGGTTATTCCATTTTTTATTTAAGAGAGGACGTAGGTATACAAACCCCCTTTATCATACAACAATCACCAATGTCGTGTCATACTGATTTTATAATACTTGAATAATACTGCACACTGCGCAGTCAGGATGTTTGGAGCAACGATTTTTAATTTTCATATAAGTAGTTAATGTTATTGATAACGGCAACCAGCTCCAGCAAACTTCCAAGAGGTAAAGTATCTCCTGGGTAAAGTTAATTGGCTGGACTACTCTAAACTAGTTTTCCCAAATAAATAAATCTAAATAAATGAATCCATTTCATGTACTCAATAAAATATTTCGAGGGACCCAACTCCTGAAATCTCTGAAAGTTTGAACCCAAAAAAATTAGATTATCTTTTTGTTTTGATAGCAGTTTAAGTGACATCTAAATTCTAAATCATTTTATCATGTAATAAAGATTCATTTTTTTTTGTAAAGACGATGAACTCGTAAATAGTATGTCGTAGTGTTGGATTTGAGATTTTCTCATAATGGGGACAGGGGATATAGGTACCTATAACTTTAATCTACATAAACTGTAATGTATATTATAAAAGATTTTAGATTTTTTTTCATAAAACAAATATAATTTCTTAGGAGAGTTCAGGAGTGTGCATTTTTTTTATCTACCCGCAGATCAATCATATACTCATATCTACTTGTCTATTCATGGTAATGAGCTAAGAAAGTATGACCGAACATTATTTATTTATTTTGTAGTACTATAGGTTATAGCATCATGACAGATTTTAAAAATACAAAATATTTTAAGGTATCTAGTCGACAAATAATAACGTAGGTTAAAAATTTAAACATCAATACATCATTAATGAATACGTTTAATAAGAACGTTGAACGGTGCAATATGTGACCCTAAGGGTCACCCGAAGTTACAAATTTCTCGAACAAAAATGTCTATACAACATAGTAGGTACATACTGTTTCCTGTTTGATAAAGAGGAGAGTAACCAATATCCATTAATGAATCGGGTTAAGAAAACCTATAAGATGTAGTTTCGTGTTCATTGATTTTAATCATTATAGGTAGGTGCACTAGTAGGTATTATACGTAGGTAGGTATAGGTACACACTACACCAGGGGTCTTCAAACTTTTTATGCAGCGGGCCACGTATTATTTTTTAATAATCTTGCGGGCCGCATTCGTAGTAAAAACATGTATTTTATACAAAAATTCAGTTTTATTATTAATATTTTCATGATTACATTTTAAATTACAAATTATTCTTATAATTATAAATACTATAAATTTATCTTATCGCTTATTTCCGATAGCGATGGCTTAGCCGTTATAATTTTATCGAAATAGAAAATATACATGCTTAATTACAAATGTGATCGCGGGCCGCATATTATGACAGGGCGGGCCGCGGGTTGAAGACCCCTACACTACACACTTATTGTTATTTATAAAATATAAGAATAATATAGCCATATAGGTACTCACAATGTTTCAATGTTTGTGTCTTCTTCAACCATGATCAAATGTTGGTTCCGAATTCTTATTCAAATTGATTGTATTTAGTGTTACTTTAATTAGTATAATACAATCTGTACATTTTGGAATTTTGCACCCGCACGTTTTCTCAACGCTATGGACAATAAACGCAAGCGTTCTGTTAATGATGATGATGATGTTCACAACATCCAAAAGAATCCAAAAACCACTAGTAGACAAGTACCAAGTACACGCCCACGATGCCGCTGTTTCTGACTTTGATAACTCTTCTCCAAATTCTCAATTCTAAGTCCGAAATAAACTCTGCAAGTTAACCCGAGAATCAATTGCTTTAATAACGAAATATACCCATTTACAATAAACTATCTTTATTAATCGATTGATAACAGTGCTAAACTTTTATTATTATCAGTATATAGAATAACGTTTGTGGTAACTCGATCGTTTAAATAAATAATTGAGTGGAATATATTAATATTAATATTGCATATTTTATTGTATGATTTAGTCTCGACCTCATCAGACGCATATTGTATAGGATGGGCCCCTTGCGCAGTTTCGTAGAAGGAAGTAAGAGTAACGTTCATTCCCAGTGATTGAAGTTTCGTGTATAATATTTTAAATATATATTTGTTTATTTAATACCTATATACGATACTTCAGTGCGACTTTCCTACATTTTTTAGTTGATTTTTTTTTATATTTTATTTTTTACGTATACCGTTATAATCTGAATATGCAATTAAAAACGTCAATATATAATAAATATACATTTTTCATTCGATGACAATGTCAAGGCCCCTCTACTAAAAAATAACATATTTTCTTTAAGATAATTCGTTCACGTTTGTGTTAAAAAAAAATAGTCCTTTATTTTGTCAATTATTTGATTTTTCGAGTCATCTGATTAAACATCTGAAAACATTTTTAAATTCTTTGTAATATACTTGAAAAATACTTCCCCGATATTTGAAAACTGAACTCTTCAAGACGTTAACCGTTTTAACCATTCAAAATTATATTTTTAAATTTTGAATTCTAAAAATATTAAAATGTTATAACCTACCCAATATTTAAGTGGACAAATTTATTTAAGAATGTAAGAAAGTAGCATTTGATTTAAAATATATTTTCAGGAATAGTATCTAATAAATAGGTAATTTAATACAATAATTGGCAAAAGATTGATAATTCGTTGAAATATTGTAAATTACTTACTACGACACAGTTATACACGACTCGGAAGCACGAGTATAGAAAATGGCATAATTTAATGTATTAAACATCAATACTCCTTAATTTTTAATTCGATCAATAACGAATCCCCAATAATATAAATTAATAAATCAATTATAATCTACAATAATAAATAAACCGAAAATTAATAAATGAATAGCATTTCATCATAGATTGTCTAATATATTATAGGGAAAATGGGTTACTTACTTAATTTACCGGGAACTTGAAATCTTAGAGTGCACAGTACGTTTATCACACCGGTGTCGGGGATGCGATCTGATGAAGTCGAGTCTAAAATCTAAATCATACAATAAAACAATATTAATATTAATTTATTCTAGATACTGAATTATTGATGTATACGATCGAATCAACACAAAATTTGTTATATACTAATAGTAATAAAAGTTTGACTCTAATACCGATTGATTAATATCTATACCAGGACAAATATAATTTGTTATTATATATTATATATCGCAGTTGACTTTTGGCTCAACTTACAGAATTTATTCTGGAATCGGAATTGAGAATATTGTTGATTACCGAGCTGTAAAAAATGTACCTGAACAATGAAAACGTCGGCGTGTACTTACCTACAACATTACGGGTTTTGGGCATTTTTTGGACGTGGTTATCATCACCATCATCAATTGCAGATCGCTTACGCTTATTGTCCATATCGGTGAGGAATCGTGCGTGCGAGAAATTTATAAATTTACAAATTGTATTTTATACTTATTAACGTAACACAATCGACGTGGATTACAAAATTTAAACCCGAGCAATTACGTTACCGGTTGGAGTTAAACTGAATAATAATTGTGTATTTTTACATCGAAACCAATCGATCGGCAGTATCTCCATGGTTGCGTGTTTAAGAGTTATTTTTCATTTTCAGCCATCTATTAAATAAACAATGGGTAATTATTACGGTCACATTTGCATTATTATATTATTTTTACACTTCAGATTTGAGCTTATAAAAAATATCGTTATGTTCGAAGTTTAATCTAGACTAATATCGCCGACCATTTGATTTTGACCGAAAAATACACATAATACATACCTAGTTTAATTTTAAAAACAGAATAGATTTATTCTACCTGAAATTCCATATGAGATCGTACGGACTGGGTGAAAAACGGATAGAATCGGCAAACCGCAACCCACCACGGTCCAGATACTATATCCGTGGTTTTCACCCTGACGTCCGTGTCCAGGTATATGGCTCACCGCTTTTCACGAAACGTAGTGTCCACGGGTATGGCGATGGTGACGTCATAGAGTAATATTACTCTATGGGTGACGTCCGTGTTTCTAGCTATTAGTTCTATATCATTCAACCGTATAGTACTCTGTTGTTTCCGCCATAACGAGTCGCCGTCTTGTGCGCAGTCATCGTCGTGGTAGATATCGTCGGGACTGCGCGTCGTTGTCCGCGCCCTAACCTAACCTAACATGACCTGGTCGCCTAGCCGCCTTGTCGTCGTCGTCCGTCGCGCCGAGAGCGACCTAAGCAGCCGGGCCCGCGTCGAGCCGCCAGTAGATTTCGCGGGGGTCAACTATCACGAGTGCGTTAGACGCCAGGCCTGGTGGCTTGGCCATTTTGTTAGATTTTTTTAAATTTAATTTAATTTACGGAATATTAGTAAATGTTAAATGCGTCAAACATTTGTTTCTATTAAATTATTGTATTACAAATAATAGTACATAGTAATGGCCTCGCACAATCGTATGAGAAAGCTTAAAAAATGAAATTACAAAATATTTGGTACATAAATACATACATCAAATAAAATCAAAGCAATGTATCGATATTGACTGGTTATATTTATAATAAAACATGGAAATAGATAATAATTTATCATAAATGCAATTGGTAAGAAATCTAAGCTATTATCTAAATTATTATTTTAAATGTATAAATCTTTTTTATTATATTGTTTATAATTTATGTATGCATTTATTACTTATCACCTTATACCTACTCTAACTAAGCCATTAAAACACAATATATAATTATTAATACAGTGGACGCCGCTTATAAAGATCTAGGACTAATGGACGTGGGGACAATAGGACGTCAAAAAAATATGATCAAAATTTTAAATCAGTAAATAAAATTAGTAAGTTATTTATATTATACTATAGTATTTATGCGTCAAGCAAAAACGAATATACGAATTATTTATTATATAAAATATTAAAATTAAAAATGTATCTAAAACAATTTTTTATTACAATTATGGGTACACCAGCAATTAAAATACAATATCAAAAAAAGTTATTTATAATAATTATTATAATACGTTCAAAATATAATATAAAAAAAACCTTTTAGATATTTTATACATATATATGTAAAATATTAATATATTATAAAAATATTTAAAATACATAAAATATCTAAGAAGTTTTTTTTAAATATTAATTCAGAGAAATAGTTTGAGCGATTCCGCGTAAAAATGATATTTTAGTTCTTATTATAATTTAGTCTGTTCTACCAGTATGCACACAGGCCTACATTCTCTTTTATACTTACATCGCCAAAACCGTTTTAAACCATCAGAACTAAAAGCGTCAAATAAGTACATGAAACCGTCATCCAAAAGTACTTCACCATCGCGATTTGATTTAATTAACGACATTTTACATGTATATGTATATTGTATACTTGTACGCAATAATTTGTACACGACTAACACGATAAGTGTTACACATTTTCGTGTATCGCCGTGTTTCGATAAAGTGTGATGCACACAAAAAAAAAATAACGATCAAATTCAATCTATAGGTAATATCTAGGTAAAATTCAATAATAAAAACGATAAGGTTCGATATTATACGATACCATTTGTTATATTATGAACATTTAATATCAATGGTTCTATAATTTATAACTTATAAGCATAAATCAGAATTATTTATTTTCAATTTTTTTAAATATATTTTGATGATGATCTATTAAAATAATATTATTTATTTAGTTTATATTTTTTCTTTTTTCTTACGTTCAATTGTTCCCACGTCCAAGCGGCTACGTCCATCTTCGCCGCTTATAAGACTCACAGATATATAAGGTTCAGCCGCTTATTAGACTCAAAATCGTCTGAAACGGTCCGGACTTATCCTGCAAATACATTATTTTACATTCAGATAATTGTCTGAAGCCATGGTTCGTGCTGTGGTCGCCGTGTATGCTGCCGGACATGGGCATAATATAATATATTAATACAATTTGTATTGGTCCACGTCGACTTGCAGGTCATATCGGAAAATTATAGCGACTCTCAGGTTTTGTTGTTTTTTTCTGCAGAGTTATTCTGATGTACCGTCGAATTAATATAGTTTATCATTTTGTACATTGCGTTCGTTTGTGTTCCGAACCGTTTTCGCATGTCATTAATTGTTGTGTAATATTACTAACTAGTAACTATATACGTCAGCCCGTTACCACCCACGCATGAAGTGCTGTGGCTCGTGTTTTGTTGTTGTTGTTGATTCGGCATCACGCATCTGTCGATGACTCGCGGTGTGTATTGTTTCTTTTGTGGGTGATTAAGCCGGGCTATCTCACGGTCACTTACGACACTTTTCGTTGCCTCAGTGAGCAGCTTAACAATCACGACCGTCACGACATTTGAACATAATCGTAAATCACTCACACAAACGGCCATTAGACGATAGACCGATTATAAGGCCAGTCGACTGCGATTGATCTTGCTGATTTAGCCCTAGCTGTGTGAATGTACCTTTTTTTTTAAATTTTTGCACTTTTTGTGTAACTATATTGATATCAATTCCAGCATGATTATTATTTTTGTTATTTAGTTATACACAGTATTGGTTTTTTTTTTTTTTGGTATTTGCCCTTTTATTTGTATCAGTGTCATTCGAGGACAGTGCAGGGAAGCGTGTGGTTGACGTGGAATCAATCTAACCTCTGAGAGCTTTTTCCCCGTCATTACGTCCGCTCATAAAGCTGTGTCAAGACCGTCGCGCCATAGTTGGGCTGTTTTGTTAATTTTGGTTAGGTACCAGTACTAGCAGTACTGATATATACTTGCAATTTTGCACCGGCCGTACGTAACCACGTATAGTGTTATATAATGTACCAGGTGTCCAGGCGTACCCTTTTTGTTGTGGTGCCTTTCGCGACCCGTCTATATACTTTTTCCAGACGACGCATATTATGCTTTAAGTCGTCGTCAATATACATCGAATTTGATATTGGTAAGTCGATATCGTGCTTTTTGTAACGCTGTGCAGCCTTTAGCCTCCCGTTATTCAAGTCATCAGCATGTGAATAGTATCTGGTGCATCTGATCTAGTCAACTGGTATAGACATCGTTGCTTCAGCGCAAATTTTGTGCGTGACTGTCAGCAGGGGCGGACTGGCAGCCATATTATATAACACGTTGGGCATTTGGCCTTACATTATTTTTAAGAATAAAATATGAAAATATACGAAAATGCGTCTTGTATAGTATGACGAATTCCAAACACTGGATAATACACAATGTTTATGCCGAAAATTAATGAAAATTCACATTTTATTTTTGTCATCGGCTTATTCTATAATCTATTATGTGGTAATTGTCCACAATTAGTGTATTAACTGGTAAGAAAACGTAATAGTATATTAGTATTTTGATAAAAAAATTGACAGTTATATTCATTAATTTCCTGTAAAAGATGGCCAGAAGTCTTAAAATCACTGACTGCCAGTCTACAAAACCTCGTGTATGCTCACACAATGCCTTGTTAACTTTCCTTGACACCCCGGCTAGGGCAATAATATTTTGCACCCCTATTAAACGTACATATTTAAAGATTTGTCGCCTTTGAAAATATTACAACATTCGGCACCATCCTCTCCCCCATTGGCATTGCACTGTATAGTCACAGTGGCGATGCAACCTCGGTCACCGGGTAATTGTGCTGCATTAATACTGCACTATTATTATGAATGTGCAATTAATTTTAATCCCGACAGCATTCGCTGCCTGAAAAACAAAAGAAAACTTAACGAAGACACTGCTAAAAATATCATCAGAATGCCTATTGGTCTGTATGACTGTATCCAACATTATATATGCCTATCCAAGTTCCATACGAGAAAAAGCCATTTCACACAAACAGATTAATTGGATATATTATAATATGTATTTAACAACTGTATATTCTCCTAAATGTATAAAAATAATTAAGTTCTAACAAGTAGGATCCACTTTGCATTTTTTAAATCGTCCAAGATCGCGATCAACTGTTTGGCAGCCCCTGATAAATATTATAATTTATAGTGTATTAGTGTGTCGAGCTACCATAACCATCGGCATATAAAATATTCTATTATATGCATAGATACCGGTCAGGTCCTTTGTGCAGTTTTCCAAGATTATCAAAATTTTCAGTCACAATAAGCCGCAGGCAGATGTCGTCACTGCACCTGGAGATACCTACTGATCATTGTTTGTGTTCACCTATATATATAATACACGGGGTTTGTAATTATTTTGTAATTATTGATTTGTTATCATTACTGTTAGGCTGTCCTTAAGTGACATCTTCGTTGTGATATTTTATATTTGTACAGCTAATTGCTCACCGTTTGCGCAATTACAGAATAACATTTGATCAGGACGATCGGGTACTATATATCGTTCGTCGTCTACATCGTTGAATTTTGTGGAGGATACCCGTCATTGAGCAGTAGGACTACAAATCGTAAGGTTCGGTCAGTGTACATGCATATGCTCGTGTTGTGTGTCCGAGTGTATCACCTCTACTGGTCGTCATGGAAATTAAACACTAGCCCATTTCGCTTATTATCTGTTCTTAGTTTTGCGTTACCTCTTTCCATCACTGTCCGCTTACTGCATACCGAATATCGACTCGTCTGCTGCTACCTCTGTACCGGGTGTAGTATGTCGTTGCAACGTTACGTCATTATTATAGCGTTAACAGTTTCTCTGCACTGCTATAAGATGTAACGTTACATAACGCCAAAATGCGCAATGATAACCATTTATATCGCCAGTTCCTAAGTCTTAATAAAAACAGTTGGCCAGAAATCAACGGCGGAGTTTAGCCATAAAGGTCAGGCGTCTGCTATAGCCTAAGATGTGACCATAATATTGGTTCAAAGCGTATAAGCGAAAAAGCCCAAAGTCGTATGTGAAAACGGTTTTGTGAACGAGTGCGCAGCTGCAGTGAAAACGAATATATTTAGCTCGGATCGAATGCGCGGCGACGACGCGCGACGTGATGATATAATATTAATATACAAAATTTAAATAATAGCTAAATGCTCTGAGTCTCTATGAATTATCTCTTGTTATAACTTTTAATAATATCGGTTCATTAGTTTCTGGGATTAAAATAATCATTTCACTTTTATATACTATATATATACTACAGAATGTAGTATGTACACATAAAGAGAATAATAATAATTATCTTTATTACTTAAATCATTTTACACAATATTTAACAATTTATAACTTAAGCTATAGTTAAAATATATTACATTAATAAATGTAATGATAAAAATAAAATAAAAAAGGTGGACAAGTATAGGTACCACTCTGCTGTAAAGTAGTTGTCAAGTAGGTATATAATTGTAATGGGTACATAATGTTAGATTTGAATTTTACGGTGAATACGAAAAGTGATTCTTAGTGGAGATGACGTGTGCCATGCGTGTATAAATAACTAGATTTAATAATTAAAACAAAATTAATAAAAATCGAAAATATAATATATCATGGCTATAAATAACTTTACTTCCCGGTGAACTTTTTTTTGTGTTTTGTTTAAGGTAGAAAAGCATATAAAGAATCTTTTATTAAATTTTCAAATGTTAGCTATAAAAACCAATATTTTTACGAATTTCTAACCGAAAAAACATGTAATTCATATGAACATAATCGAACCTATGTGTTTTTAATATTTTTAAATTGCTATAAAAACAACTTGTAAGGAATATTGCATTCAATGTTCAAGCTTTTTTTACCTAGTGAACCACATTTTATCTATCATGGTTTAAAAAAAAACAATGGAAATCTCTCATGGCTATAAAGAGCTCATGAAGTGACAAAATATTTTGGAAATTATATCATGAATTGAAAAAATATTTAAAAAAACATACATAATTGATAGTATTGCTTAGAATCTTATAAAACCGTGTATTAAGGTAGCTAGGGGGCATATAATTATTCATGATCATTTTCTCAGGTGTCTGCACTTATTACGTACCGATTTTTCGTAATGATGCGATACAATGCAACACCTACGGCGAATAGTAACATCGCAGCCGAAACTATAGCGACACCACTGCAACAGGAGAAAGTGATGCTGGCGAATAGGAGCGATCGACCACCGCGGCCGCCGCTGCTCCAGGCGTCCCGGTGGATGAGTTTTTTCTGCACATCACAAACGTACCCGCCGTCGCCACCCACGGTCACCACAATACGTTGAAGCCGGCCGAGAACGGTGGCCGTGGTCGTGGAGGTCGGCTGGCATACGATCTCGTGCCGCGACAAGGACGTGACGTTGCAACCACCCGTCGAATTTCGAAACTGGACGGCCACGTCGCCGGCCGCGTACCCTTGGGCCGACGAAGACGGATGGCCTCTGCTTATGACGACGGCACCGTCGCGGATTTCGAAATCAACGTAAACGGGATCGGCGTACACAGAAAACGGACTGCGAACGGCAGTTGCGGACAACCGTTGCTGCTGTGGATGCCGCACCGGCATGTCTAACGGACGACCCTCATCACAACCCCACGCCTGGACACCAAAATCCGGAAACACTGCGGTTGTGGCTACGTCGACGGCAGACAACGAGCGCCGCATGTCCGGTGACCGGCATTCCATGAACGTGTCATTCACCACTCGGCAGCCGGTGGTGTGCTGGTATTTGGTGCCGTCCCTGTCGTGCACGTAAAAGTGTGCGTCTGCCAAGCAGGAAAAACGGACGCCGTGGACTGGCACCGAGGTGCCGCCTGAAACAATGCCGCTAAACGTCTGTCCAGCTTCTAACGCCGCGTCACCATTCTTACACAACGTCCACGAGGCGGGACTTTGGACGTACTTGATCGGACCACCGTCGAACTGGACTTTCACCCGGGCCGACGATGGGCTGGAAGAGTTATAATTGCTGTGGGGGGTGGCCACGGCGGTCCGGCAGACGATCGTGTGCCTGTCGCGTGATACAGTGTCACATGTCATGAGGACCGTTTCGCCGACTTCTGTTTCGTTGACGTTTGATACGATAGACACGCGTACGGCGTTACCGATGTCCAGGAATCGGCCGCGCACCGTCAACGTGATGCCGCCGGAAATAGACCCGCAGATCGGACGCACGCTCGTCGTCTCGGGATCGACGAAACCGATCACTTCTGAAGATCTGAGAGCGAACCTCGTATTCTGCGATGGCCGTGTCGACGACGACGCAGACGAGTACACAACTTCGGCCGGACCTGCGGAGGCTACAGCGGTGGTGACCGACGGCTGCAGCAAGGAGCAAGTTATCGTCTGGTCGTCGTACGTCGCCGGGTCATCGCAGAGTCGTCCGGCCACGGCCACCGTGACGGTTCTGTTCTCGGCCAACATCCGGTGGTTCCGGACGGTTATCGTCATCGTGGTGGTGCCGCCGCCATTCCGTGGCACGTTAAGCGGCCGCACTGACACGATGCTGATCTCGGCGCACCTTATGCGCACCACGTCGTCGTCGTTGTCGGCGAACAGAAATTTCTTGTCACCGTCCGCGTCTCGTTTATCGTAGATCTGATACGACCCCGTACACGGGTTGCTTGTCGGACACCATTTCAAGTAATGCTTGAAGCCTCTGTCGCTCCACAGGCACGTCGCGCAGTGGTCAGCAGCTGCGGCCGTAGACGCCGCGCAGTCGCGGTCGTAAATGGTGTAGTAGTGGTCGGCGTCATTGTTGAACTGCAGTTTTTTGTCGCCAACCATGATGTAGATGTAGGAGATCAGAGCTCTCGCGCCGTTCGCAAAGTACGACCATGGTGTGCGTATCGCCGCACACGTGATTGAGTCGTCAACCACCAAACCCCGGAAGTCGCAGGACTCGATGCAACACGTGATCGTACTGCTGTTGAGGAACGACGTGACCGCACCGTTCACGTCGTTTGATATCTTGACCGTGTACTTAAAAGACACGCCGGCTACGGACGATTTGTTGACCACCGTGAACCGCGGACAGTGCATCTCGTTATGAACTGTTAGATTGCCATGTGGTTTTTGTAGCAGATTCGTGTTTATACACACTTGCAGTTCGACGGACCAGCTGCACAAAGATTTGTTCGTACATGTCATGCATGTATTGAAGTCCGGGCAATCGATTTCATTGATCGAATCGGTTTCTAATGAATTTGCGTGTAACGTGAACGTAAATACCTGTAAATGCAATAAAAATAAGAACGGTTAAATACTAATACTATACAACAATATTTTTATAAATAAAAAAGCAAATGTTTTCAATTTTTGATTAATACATATTAAGTATAATTTACATACCTATAATATACTCCTTAAAATTTTTAAAAACGATTATTCGTTTTTAAGGAGTTTGGACGAATTACAATAAATTGTATTTTTATTTTTTAATACCTAGGTATTTATTGATTGATATTTGATATATAATATATAACTGTTTATTTTGTCAAAGTTTTTTTTCAATTAAATTACACAATACATGAATGTTTTTTATAATATTACCTATTAGTATACAATCTGTTCATATTTTGTGTAGTAAGCATAAGTAATACAATTAATTTTAATTATATTTTAAATGATGAGGGGAGGGCCCATTGGTTTGCTCCACGCAATACTATTACAGGATTATCAAAGGTCATCGACGCAGCCACCAGTGCGATATAACTATTCATTTACGGATAGACACATTAAAGGTGATCATAAAATTATGTACCGACTTGAACGATAGATTCCTAGCTGTTATCCCCTGGGACACTACAATTTTTCGTTTTTAGGAGGTAAACAAAGAAATAACAAAAATCAATTTTAGCGAACAAATTATTATTATTTCTATTACATCCAACTTTTCTTATCACGCCCAGATGATATAACGAGACAATACTACAATATGAAATAGCTGTTGGATCAGACGACGCATTAACTGCAAAGATTATAATTTACCAATTATATACTATTATAATTATTAATTACCATAATATAAGCATTAAGCACTAACACAAGATTATCGAATTATTTTCCATGGGTCATAATGACAGTAGTATCACTAGTATAGTAGTATCGTATTAAAAGCTAATAATAAAAATGAAAGTAAGACAGTATTTCACTATTGTCTATTACAGACTTCAGTATTGACTAATTATCGTTGACTATTCTCTCTATCCGAAAGTTTTATCATATTTTGTGATACACAATATACAGAGTGATTCACCATACATGCTCACCCTTTTTTTCTTCAATTATGCAGTTATTCAAAATCTAATTTTTTAAAAAAATTTTATATATTCTTTAATTAAGACCGTACTTATTTTCAAATTCTTGAGATTTTTTGTACTATCTAGAGAGTGTCCTGTGGAGATACGAACTTCTGTTTTTCAAATAAGAACACCCCTATTCAAATGGTAAAAATATTATTATTAAACATTATTTTTATTATTATATTGAGCAGAAGATAATTTTTCTGAAATGTTTGACGTATCAAAATCAAAATCCGTACGAGTAGTTTTTGAGTTTTTAAACAATTTGTGTTCTAATAAATTGCAAATTTTTGTGATGTTCACAGATTTTATCAATATTTTATCTTCAGACACTCATAAAATATTATTGTGGATTTACCCTCAAATTGCTTATAATTATTAATCAATAATCACAATAACTTGCCATGGCGTATATGAAATTCTAATACACACATTTGGTGAACATTTTAAATATCTATCTATAAGGTTATTTGTTTCTGAGTTACACAAAAAAACGATTTTATCTAAAACTGATTTGCGTAAAATTTTTGAACATTTCTGTGAATTTTTAGTCTTAATTTTAAAAATGACTAACTAAATTCTACTTTCTCGCTAGAAAATATACTCTAGTTAAAAATGGAAGCATTATTTTGACTAGTTATCGTGTATGCTATATTAAACATACACATAAAAAAAAATCACATCATTGTAAAATCCATAAATTCATCGCTCACTGTAAACTGTACACATTTGAAAATAAATAAATGTACAAACTATATTAAATATAATAATATTAATAATAACAATTGACAACAAAATATGTAAAGACATAAATGTATGTCTTGCATACGGGCCTCAACACTCAACAGGAGCATGTTCAGTGGGGCTCATGCCCCATTATCTTCTAGAATAATAATTGAAAATTTATAAATTTAAATACATATTATATACATACCATTAGTACCATTGAAATTACAAGTAAAATGTCTTTAGTTGAAAAAAGGTCCCAATTATATTCATTTTCTCTTGAAATTTTGCTGTCTACCATATTGTTTAAAATGTGTGATGAAAACCTTTAAAAAGAAACAATTACGGTTTTTTTAGATACCAATATTGTTTTTAAATTCTTGATTAAAATCTTTTTGCGAAGTATTATAATAGGTATATGAACCCGTTATTAAGGAAATTATTATATTGTGTACAACACTGTACTTATTATATAATAATATAACTTATAAATGTATAATGTGTATTGTTCAGAATGTATATATTTTTAATAGTTTATGCCAAAAGGCAATTTGAAAAAAACACATGCAAAATAAATTAAAATAACAATATACAATATCAATAACTATAGTTAAGTAAAAACAGGATTAGCTGGTATATAATAAAAGAGTGAACAAAGATTAATTATTGGGTATTATTATTGTTATATATATATTATATTAAATTTTATATATATTATATTTATTATTGTGATATTATTAGCATTACAAATTTACAAAACATGCAATGGGGTCGATGTACCATGTACGTGTACACCAACTAATAGCTGTACCTATAAGCGCATAAGTTCTGAACTAAGCGATGGCGATTTGGGTTCATTATTTTATAAGAAAATAATTTTATAATTTTTTCCAGTACAAATAGATTTATGCTGCGGAATTTCACTAGATTAGGTGAACTATAAGGGGATAACCTTTTGTTACTTAACTAGATCAACATGAGAACATAAATTAACATAAGTACTTACCTACTTTAAGAGCCAAGAAAGAAATATTTTCCGATTTCCTTGTTATTTTAAAGAGCGTTACTAACTGTTATAATGACAAATTTTTAGGTACTATATTATTGGGTTTTAAAGTATGGATACACTTACAAAAATTCAATATTATAATAATACATTTAGCTTTAAATTTAGAGACACCCCTGCATTTTCATCTAGAGATGATAACAGTATCCACACAAGTACACAACTCTTATATAAATTTACAATTATATTTATTATCTATTGAAGACCATCTTTAGAAAATATAAATTTAATTTGATACATATTTTAAGAAATAATTGCATAATAATTAATAACGTACCTGTAATATATTAAGATCAGTTCGTACTATTTTTCTGAAAAAAATGTGAAACTCATTTGAATAATATAATTGAAAAATTAGATGTTGTCATCTAATACCCTGAAGCACTACAGACTTGTAAGTAAATAATAACTATTTACAACGATTCAGAATCGATTAATTATGTTTTACTATGACTTATGAGTTCCTAATGAGTGATGACACAATGATAGGTATCCTATATAATATTAATATATTATATAGCTATTAAGCTATACGTAATACAAAGGCGAAGAGCTGTTTCAATGGAAAATACATCCATAAATCTACTAACTAGATTCTTGCTCTAATGCTCTGTATTAATAATAATAAACCAGAGTAAAACAATGCATCAATATTACACGCGGTACATATATATAGCTTCTAACAGAAATATAACGCTTGCATAATTTAAGTACTTAGTGTCGTATTTACGCCGATAATTTCTGACGTAGGGTATGCCTGATGAACACACAATTAAAATATAACACTTTATAACTGGGTTGTTCTATCGCGATCTCATTACGCTATAACTGCTTAAAAAACTATTTTTGTCTACTCATAATATCTTCTATATAATATTAGGTATAGCTTAATCTGGTTTCTAATCAACTTTCTAGTTGCTACATTTTGTTTTTACTCCCTTAAAGTCAACAAAACTCGGGGGCGGAGTGGACAAAGTCGGCCCACTAAGTTTTCCGTAGTTTGCCGGCCACTTACTATTTGGCGGCCCTTGGCCCAAAATCGTTTTTAGTCCATCATTTACTTCGTAAAGCTTACTGACTAACTTTTAATAAAGACAATTTACGTAGAGCACAAGAGCGTCTCCTTAATACTATAGCCACATAAAATTATGTGTCAATAGCCAGCAGGTACATCAATGTAAGTAATATAATATAACTACATATTTTTAAATTTATAACTTATATGTAATTACCTATTAAGCAAAAAAGTGTCAGTTCCATGGGCGCAAATTGACTAAATTGTTTGGAGGGACTCAAGCTCCCCTCCCTATATGCTATAATATAAGTAAAAGTATAGTACTAATTACTAGATTTTAAACTGGGGGGACTTAACCGAAATTTGGGGGATCAAGTCCCCTTAAGCCCTCCCCCCTATTTGCGCCAATGGTGGCTTCTTTTAATAAGTCAGTGAATGCTAGGATCCGTTACACCCGCTCAAACACATGTTGTAAAAGTAAAAACAATTTGCAGATTTCATATTAAAAAATATAACACTGGGGAAATTATTAAATAATGCACCAATATTACATGTGTGTGTAAACTAAAAATACTTTTGCTACACAAATAAATAAACTTCACAAAATGTTTAAAAAAATTGACCTTGGATTAGTATAGGCAACAGATAACAGATAACAGTTAAAGTAGATACCTATTATAGTGACTACCTAGGTACATGTTATATACATTATAAGTTATAACATAAAACTTTATTAGTATAAGTGTATAACTATAACTATTTTTAATGTCCTGTTATCGAAGCACGCCAGAATAGCAGGATTGTATTACTTGTAAATTACTATCAAAATAGGTATCTAATCATTAATGAGTAACCAGAGATAATAACTAGGTGTTACTATTATAAGAATTACACATTTTTAAATGACGTATTCTTATAAAATGCAATAAAATGTTGAAATATAGCACAATGTTACAACATATGATTACAGAATAGTGACAAATGGCAATATACGATAATTAAATACATATGGCAGAAAATATCTCACATTTTTTGGAGAACTTGAATTCCTAATAATATAGATTTTAAAAAAGTGGGTTGAAGGTGCGTAGCCCCCATATCCCATAAACAGTAAACAACAGTTGTTACCTATTGCGCGTACAAATAAGTTCATAATATTATTTAAATAAATTACATCATTTAAACTCAATATCTATTTTATATAAATTTAGTAAACGGAGTAGCTGATCGATGATAATATACACGTCATGTTATTTATAGGTTTCTGTTTTCTGTAGTAAAATTCATCAGATATTATTATAATAATTACTTAGTACTTACTTGATGAACGATTGATTTGGGGGACTTGTGATTATTTTGGGGAATTCAAATACTCTTAACCACCCCTCAAATTCCTTCCAATTATTATAAGTAGTTATTCTAATATGAAAAAATAAAAAAGTGTTATTGAATATACTCATTAGGTACATTAGGTATTTCTACCACCTTCAATCTGAGTGAAAATGTGAAATGCTAATTTAAAATTATTAAACCAGATACCTGTAGGTACCTACCTGTAATTTCCCCATACATAGTTAAATATTTATTACTAACATAACATTTTGAATTATAACTGTATATTAATTGTTTGTATGGTTATAGGTACCTTATACATATTATAATATTATATATAAATATATAATTGTGAAAGTACGAATTTTGTGTGCATTTATCTTAATTTGATATGTATAATAATTAATAAATAGGCACCTATGCCCCACACGAATACAAACTGAGATTTGGACGTTTCCCCCGTGTCTTTCCCCCTACCTGCCTCACCCGACAATTTTAGCGGTGCTGAACATTTCGCACCCGAATCAAAGTATAGTTTTTTTACACATAAAAAAACACCGGAAAATAGGTTCTTTGCTTTTACCCGAAATATGCGATCATCATTAAAGGCATCTATTGACTATAATCATCATGCACGTAATCCGCATGTGATGTCTCTGTCTTACACACATGAGACATGAGGTGATTTACATTTTACAAGATCCCACCACGAGACATTCCATAATATTCTGACTTATTCAGTTCAAATGTTTTTCAATGAACAATCTTTGCTTAGTTAGATCTATAATATCTATAAATTATATTAATGTTGATATCTGCATGTTATCGGTTATAACTTATAAGGTAGGTATACTATTAACATGGTATAAATACACTACAGCGTGTTATGTAAGTATCTGGCTATAATTTGATTAATTTCAGTTTGAATGTTAAAAACAAAATAATATGTTAAATATCGTCATAATATTATAAATATAATATTTTGCACTATAGTAACAAGATTTGTTTGTTCACATTAAAGTTTTTGAAACTTATTATTTACACACCAACTATACGATCAATTCAAAATCGGAAAAACTTAAAAGAGAAACGCTGTTCATTACGTAGAGTTGTAGACCACCGTCCACCGGGGAACGTCCATTACGAGGAACATGAATGACAACTAAAGAGACATACTGCTGCAAACGAAGGACGAGAGGACTAGTGGACTAGAGGGACGTCGGGCCTTGATGCCATTTGGCCGATGACGGGGAAGGACGGGGACCTTTGAGATGACTGAGCCATGTTCTCGTTCGGCATTTGCGATGACAGTTTGACGGGGTGTACTACAGTAATGCGGCCGAAAGCTGGTCGGTCAGCCGGCGGAGTTGGAAGATAAGCTCGACGACGATGAATATAGAATATGGCATGCAGTGGCACTTGCAGCAAAAAGGATCAAGGTTAGCAGAGTTTGGAAATCAGCTAACGCCGAAGGACCACTGGAAGCATATTATTATGTAATTGAATTGCTACTCACCTGTGTTCGTTCTGTGGTTAGGCAAGCGGTCGGGAAAAGCGGACGAAAAAGCCAAATTGCAGATCGAGGTGCGTGTCGGAACCGGAGATGGCGACCTTATCAGGGAGGAATTAACAGAAGTAACGGTGAAACTGAATTGGGTAAGAAGCAAGGTACGCGGCAGTTCACAAAGAATCGCGACAAGAAATGTGACAACATTTTAATATATAATATATACAAAATATATTGAATATCAAAATAAGTTATAAGTTATAAGCTTACATTATAATGAACTAAGAATGTTACAACTTATTATAAACCATAATAGACATAAAAATGTCAAAGAATCGTGAAAAAAATCAAACTTGTTAATTTTGTTTCAAAATTCAGCATTCAATTATAACCGGAAGTTTTCAAAACCAAATAGTCCAAACCTAACCAGAATTATGGAATTCATGTCTCTCTTCTTAGAACGTTCACTGCCAAGCTCATTACCCTTTTACCAGTTTCACCGTCAAGTCCAAAGTTTCTCCTGCAGTCACCATCTCCGTGTCCAGCGCACGGGGCACACCTCTCGGTCTGCAACCAAACTTTCTTGTCCAAACCGCACGGCTGCGGATTGCCTATACTAATAGAATGTACACGTGGACGAGGGCAGCAATTCCGGCGATTGCGGTCCTTTGGAAAGGACTTATTTTCCCAAAAGCTGATCCTGATCCTGCTCCTGCATACCATATTCCTCGCCGTCGAGCACCATATCCTCTTAGGCCGTCGAGAGGGTACTGCCGGCTGAACCGATGTCGGATGCACATTGTAGTGCACTGCGCCGTCGTCACCGCCCAACGAGAACAACCCATGTAGGCTGGGCGTCCTGGTCCTTAAATCCTATGGTTGTCTTTCGTGCAGTATGTCTAAAAGGCGGAAATGGAGATTCCCCAATTTCGCACCAGCAGTTCTCCTTAAAGATTTGAACGGTTTCCTGAAATAATCGTCGGCCAAAAGCTGCTTTGTTTCAGATGTAATAACCTGAAAATCTTGAAAAAATGTCAACGTTTGATAAAAATAAAGGAAAATGTAGTTTAATATTGATTATATATATATTTTTTTCAAAACTTATAATAGTACTAATATAGTTAGTAGCGAGTAATTTACAAATATAGTGTTCCAACGACTGGCACACCTATTTGTCAAGTAGGCCAATACTTACGGACTAGCGCAAGTAGCTAAGTAAAAAGTTTCCACAGTCGGTTAAGTCAGAGATTCCCAACCTTTTTAGACTCACGGCACCCTTGGTCGTTTTCTAAAAATCCGGAGGAACAATAATAAAGACTACTTCGGTTTTATTTATAGCAGTGCATAAGTATAAAATAAAAGTAGTAAGACATAGCTCTAAAGTCTATTATACAAATATTATATTTTACTATACATTTATTACTACACAATATTTTTAGATTATCAAGATTAATTAAAAATTAGGGAACTTATGGTATATGGAACTAATGTGACACTTGGGCTTGTTTTTTTTTTTAGTTTTTTACACAAATACTTTATATGTGTTCGAATAGTTGAAAGACATACTCTCATTTCTTCTTAAATGAACTCCATTTTCACAAATTATATGAAACACAATAGGTTTAAATGTTGTTTATTATAGTTAGTTATGAGCAGTTTTATTACACACAGTGCTATATTTTCCATGATAATGTTTTCTTAAAAAATATATTTCAAATAATTTCGCAGGACCCTAAATAAAGTTCACGGCACCCAGGTTGGGGATCTCTGGGTTAAGTTATAACAAGTATCGGCGGTGGGGGAGTTACTTAATATGTATTTTGGATTTAAAAATTAATATTTAGTCAGTGTTGTACCTACTGGCAGTCATCGTGTAGTGTATAGTTAATAGTTTATAAAGCCAAAAAAAAGAAAATTTCCGAGCACCACGAGTGACGACAATAAAGTATTGACTTGTATGTGGCTTGTGTGCTTCATTTATCGTAATGTATGGAGAATACTTAGATTAAAAAAATTGTACAAGTACATATACCGTCCCGGGCTTTCGGCGTTCCCACTACATGACAAGTATACACTAGTGACGAATATTTGGCAAGTACACCAGTAGTGGGAATCCTGTTTAAGACACTAAGACGGAGACAACACATGCGGGTGCAAGTCCTCTTAAAAAATGTGATACATTCATGAATACCATAAAATGTTCATACGTTAGAACTTAAACGGCTTTCATACGCCGCTTTCGTTTCCCACCCATTAAGCTTCCTCTGCGACTCTGCCTACCTTGCCCTCTCCTTTGAGAATTACAATCTCCTCCACCATCTTGTACAAGATCCAAAACGTCTCCGAATCATTGAGCACTTAGGCTCTCACTGGATAGTCCAGGGGTTGATCCTCGAAGCCTGGGCCAAACTGCTGAAGAGAATGGCACGAGGCGCGCGCCGAGATCCTCCTCCCTCATACCACTCTAATACTGGCACTCGAATAGAGTGTGGTTGACGGTCACTGGCGTCATTGTTACTGCCCTGCTCATCCAGTTCAAGTAATACTGGAAGAGATAAGACAGAGGCATCTTCAAACATCCAAATATGCCTACCTAATCTAAGTTATTGTATATCTACCTATAACTACAATTTTATTGAACCGTAAATTCACAGTGGTATAAGCTCAAAATTATAATATAGTTATTTCAATAATTCAAAGAAATCTTTTATACCTGGACCATGTGCATTGAAATAAACAAAAATAAAATGTTTACAACAATCGGAGTGCCGAGTGAGTAGATCAGGGCCCACCTTGTTTTCAAAATATATAATTAATACTTTTTAGATCATTAACTATACCTACATACCTAAGTTAAAATAATTGTAACCATGAATATTATAACTATATAGATTTTTTTAATCCTCGAGATGCCTTTGTTTACAACTCTTATTTGTTTCATATTTAATATTATTTTGAGATACTAAAATGTAAAAACACTAAATATCACGAACTACAGACTAAGAATTAAAATAGAATGGAATGAGTGAGCTAATGTACAAAATTCTAGATATTCCTTCTAATCAGCATCCATTAGAATTAGTGCAAATTTAACATTCAACTCATCCTTACATATTAGCCTTCGATTTCCACAATTTATTAACCTCTTTACCATACCACAGGCAAACGGTTCTTCATTTTCAATTCCGACTCATCATATCTCTTACAGGCATAATTCCATAATCAGCTTCCCAAAATAATCTTAATTCAACTTAGTCTCAGACCTCAGTACTCAACTGACAACTGTTTATGTATACCAACATAAATATATTATTAACTTATGTATTAAACTCAATGACAAGGCGTTTAATTATAAATAAATAAATAAACAAACAAACAAAACAAACAAAACCATTAAAAACCACTATGTACCAATATATTTTGTGAATTTATAACTAAATAAATTCCAAAGGTAATAAATGAAAAATTAAGAAATATTTAGAATTTTTTTTCTTATTTATAAAAGTTGATCATAACATAGCATCTACAATTATATAAAATAAATTGAAGAATATTTTATCAATTGATGTATATACACAGCTGTAAGTTGGTGCTGGTTTAATCATAGATGATATATTTTATATTATCAAGGGTACACTACAGATCAGTAGTTTCTTCATATTTTTTTATGAATAGTTCAAACGATTCTTTACTTATTACTCCATCCTGATAGAGCTTATGGAAAAGTTTCAATGCCATTCCTAATGGAAATACATTCACATTAATGAAGAAATTAAAAATTAAACAATTAGCAACTACCTCTTGGATGTTGAAGTGACGCAGACATTAACTGAATGCCGCACAGACACTGAACTTCTCGTTCCTGGATTTCAAGTTCTAGAAGTGGTTCAAATCGAATATAGTAGTTCAACAATTTCACATGAACATAATTAAAAAAATCCTCGTATGAATGATTTGGTTCTATAAGTTAAACGTTTATATTTAATAATTGAGTAACTATTTTACCATAATTGCAGAAGAAGTGACTTACTGGAACATATAACCATGACAATAGCTATAGTTAATGCTAGCACAAACTGAGGGCGTTTTATTATTTCTGCACTTATATTAATCTAAAATCAAAAAAAAAAAATAATATTGTTTGCATTATATGACTGATACGTGCAATATTTCAAATGTCTTGAACCATCATATTACTCACATTTATCCAACTATGCATTATGTCGTACAGAAGGTCACAATCATTTGGCTTAATTTTATCATACATAGCAATAGATAAAAGGAAGACACCAATTAGCTAAAATTACAAATATTAAAATACAATATAATTTTAAAAATACTCGCTTTTTAAAATATTTAAAAGCTTACATTATTTTTCAAATATTTATTTATTTGGTTATTGGGCATAAATACGTCAATAGTAACATTATCAGAAGTCCTCCACTTATTGTAAATCCATAATATACCACCTAGTTGCTAAAATTACAAAAGTAGTGGTATTACAGATCAGGCGAACAAGGTGTCATATAAGTTTATTACATATAATTAAATTATAATGAAATAAATGATTTAATTAATTAACAAATACAGCCATACAGGTTATCCAATATCATAGTTTCAAAACCACTATAGATAGGTAACATCAATGCAATCATTTATCGCTCTTTATTTTAATTTAGATTTGACTCACAAGTCAGACTCCTATCAAAAAAGCACCGCTTAGTCAAATAAAAAATAAATTTAATGACTTAAAATAATAATTATACATATAGGTCAATACACCATAGACCGGCGGGCTTTCAAGCTGGATCAAGCAACTGCTTTTGTCAAACTAAGCTTTTGGTAGTAAGCCAACAGCAGTCATCAACTCCAGTCCTCGATATCACGGAAAAAGGTCAATAAACCATCAAGAGACATTTGTCTCGGGAGACTAGAAATGTATCAGCAGTACTAACCTTAATAGTTAATATTTTAAAATAAAATATGATTAAAAAACTGTGGGAATCTGAGCCCTCCATAATTGTGTCGATGATTATCATTTGATTCTTATTAATAAAATAACTAACCTATCCATACAATATTGAGGTAAAGAAATCTATGTGGATGAAACAAAAATATACATTTTGATTACAAAATAAACTAAGTTCAGAAATTAACATTATAAATGTATAAATAATAACTTTTATTTATTACTATAATGAACATGAGAAAAATAGAACAAATAACTTTAATATCACTTACTTCTTTAATATTCTGCGTTTCTTCAGAACCATGAATTTTATTTAAAACTTCTATAAAAAATAAACTAGAATTGTCTGGTCGTATTGATGTACAAGAATCTTTTAAATTGGTAAAATCAAAGGAAGCATTCTGTGATAATAATGATGGAGCTATAAAGAATTTATTTAAGTTAAGAATGTTTGTATACTTCAAACAATTGATAAAAACTATAAATAAGAAATTAACTATAATGGCAGCAATATAGGAGAAAAATTGAAGGTAATCCACCAAAAAATCATTCCAATATTTAAGAACAGCATTAATTCTTCAAGTAAAAAAATATTAATTAAAATTGATTTAAATATTTTATAATCTAAATAAATAGTTACCCTTGATTGATGGCTACCATAGAAAGAATTTTTTTTTTTTAAAAGTTCTGCAAAAAACTTTCCTACCACCTTTGTTCGGGCAATAGGATTACTATCTAATGTTATAAGTGACATTGATTTCACAAACTCTTCATGCCTTGTGCGGAATACTGATGATTCATCTTTTGATAGTAAATGAATTATATTCTATATAAAAAAAGCACAATTATACATTATAGTTATCTAAGTAATACAGTAAATATTTTTGTATTGAATACATACATCTAAATTTTGCAGTTGCTCAAATTCTAGAAGAATTCTTCTACATTTAATATTAATTGTATACGCAACTACAGAGTCCAATTCTAACGCTAGATCTTCTGCTTTCTCAGAAAAATTTAAAGAAAGAGTAGATTGAGTGAATTGCGGCATAAGACCTGCAACACCTTTTAAAATATAAACAAAAATTATTATTTATAAAACAAACATATTTATTGAAAAATAAGTCAATCTACTAATTGTTATACCAAACATAATCCTTTGGTTCTCTTCAGTTTCTGATAATATTGGCTTCTTTATTGCGTTATTTGATCTAAAAACATTTTTGAAAGCATTAATATTCAATATAAATGATTAGATACTTTAAAATTAAAGATTTACATCACTTGTGGAGTATTGAATGATTCCTTATCATCTTTTGGAACACCATATAAGTTACTGCTTGTAAACCTTGTCCGTTTCGGGGGCAATAAAATAGTAACTGAAGACGATTTTTGACTGTTGGACGATTCCTAAGAATATTTATAGTATTTACTAATTTAATTTTAGCCCTTCATTGGTTGTGTGGGGTAAATAATTTCTTGCCTTAAATATTATAGTTTAATAACTATCATAAAGTCAAGTTTCTTAATTTATTGCTATACTTTATATATTGCTAACTATTGTTATAATGCTCATTAACGCCAACGGGTAACCAGAAGAGACAGCTGCCCAGGGCCCCGCGCATCGCACGGCATTTGATGATTTTTAAACCTATAATCTTGCTTTTGGAATTAAAAATACAAGTCCCGTCTACAGTGACAGTTAGTGGGTTTTTAATATAATAATTTGAATACCTATGATGAACGAGTGAGAGTAAAAATAAATTATAATGCTGGCGACATCCAAAACAATTTTGATGTTAAAATCTTGAATCTTTTTTTAAATTTTTGGGTAACACTTGTATTTAGTGTACTTAGGGTACCTAAACATTTAATTTATACATATTTCATTTCAATAAATATTTTAAAAATTCCTCTACCTAAGTACTAGGATGTGCCAGCAAAATTTCTTTTCTTACGAAAAAAAATCTGTCCCGGGCCCTGCAAAACCTCCTGCGGCGCTGATGCTCATCTAACTTTATTAATCATTAGAGTCTAGTTATATTGGATCAGAATAATTTTATTTGATCAAAAAGCTGTTTATTACATATTTTTGGTATATTTCTACCCGGCATGATGAATAGAAGGTTGATGATGTTATAGCATATGTGTTGTCTCAGTCTTACAAATATATAACATGGGGAAATTTACACTCAGAGGAATACATTTTGTTGACTTAAGATTTAACATCATAAGAAATTATTGTATAAGACGGTTAAAATATTATTATCTAGGAAATCTTGTAATTATGTTTTAAGCGGATTATGGGCATTTTAAAATTGTATTATTTTAACTTCTTTATTACCACCCACAATTGAAAAAACAACTCAAAATGTATTCGCAAAAACACAAATTTCCTAATAGGCAACAAATTACAAACAATTTAATGTTTTTTTGGTTAAAAGTTATTTGTATAGATTATTTTTTCAAACTTTATGTGATCATAATTTATAATCAATTTGTTTGTCTTAAAAACTTACATCAAGGTTCTCATATTTTAAATTTTCACATTTCGCAAAGTCTAGTTTTAAAATATGTTCTTTGATAGTGTCCTTGTGTTGTGAACTTGAAGAATTTATCAAAGGAGTTGGTTGAGCAAATTGAGGCTTCAAACTCGCTACACCTGAAAAAATATTAATTAATATATATTATTTATAAAACAAACATATTACATAATATGTATTTAAAAAATAAATCAGTTTACTAAATGTCATTCCAGACATCACTCTTTGTCTTTCTTCAGAATCTGATATAATTAGCTTTTCAAATGTGTCATTATTTGATCTAAAAATTATATAAGGCATTAAAAAAAATATTATTATTTACTTGAAAAATATTAACCACTTACGTAATTGGTGGAGAATTTAAAGAATTTTTATCATAATTTAGTACAGCATATGGGCGACTGCTTGCAAATTTTATATTTTTATCAGTGGAAAATGACCAACTAGATGGACCTAAGGTTGTCACAGATGTGTTTTCCTAAGAAAATATTGTATTTAATATTTTAGTTAAGTTGCACCCTAAGAATTGATTATAATATATTACCTTAAAACCTTGTAGTTTAGATTGGTCAATAGCGTAATTTTGTTGTTCATACTTAGAATTATTTTTATCAACATTCAACAATTCCTTATTTCCTCCTTGAAAGTACATTCAAATGTAAGCTACTATACTACTTATTAACACAATTTAATACGCATAAGTGCTCAACAAAAATTTCATAATAAATAAGTTAATATGATTTTGGAATGATTTTTTAACAGTAAATAATTAATTAATATTAAGTAATATTTTAAATGAAAAATTAGACAAAATACAAAACCATTAGATTACTTTAACGTTCAATATAGGTAATATAAATTTAATAATTAATACAGATTACTAATTATGAATTATAATAGATACGTACGACGACCATTTTTATTTTCACCATCCCTACATTTTTTATCACCACGATGATCTCGTTTGTCAGATCTATTAAAAGCTAGTGATGTAGATTGTTGTTTAAATGCTTTATTGTTGACATAATTTACCAATTTGGGTTTATTATCAACACTTGGTATCCACTTATTTGTTCTTAAATTAATGATACTCTGTATCATGAACATTATTCTTAAAGAAATATTGGGTTTAATTATTGTATTAGTTAAATCTTGAAGTTTTTTAAAGGTATCATTTAAATCATAAAACTGAAACAATAAAATATAGCTTATTAACTTTAAATTCAATAAATCAAATAAAAAAACATTTTAAATACAGTACACCATTGGATATTGATGTTTTTCAGAATCAATGTTTTGTTTGTTAAACGCATACTGTATGGTACATATGAGTAGCAAATTACAGTTGGTGAGGACCTCAATCATCACCCAAAGACTATACAGTAAAACCTCTTTATAACAGAATCGCTTGGAACCAACATTTTTTTCTGTTATAGGGAGGTAGAAAAAAGTTAAGTTTGAAGAATGTACAAATGTGTTAAAAATTATATTTTAGGTAAATATTTTGTAGTACGTAAATTTATACTTGAAGATTATATTGTGTATAATAGGCACATATGTGCTAAAAAATTAAAACTAAGAATTAATAAAAACATATTAAATACATATAACTTATTTATAACTAAAAAAAATAGTTAGTAATATTTCATTGCTTTCTGTGGCTAAGAGCAACACGTTCAGCACACTTTTGTGCTTCTGTTGTTAATACGAACAGATTTTAATTTGAAATTGTGGCTGAAAACTCTTTTAACTCTTCTTAATATGACATGCCGATTTTAAAATCTTTTATTTTTGACTCATCACTAGTCTTGCTGTCATCATCATTGTTTTCTAAGATTTGAAATTCCTCTTCTTCTAAAAAAAATGCAGAATGTAATGAAATCTTTAATATCAACATTGGATGTAAGACACTCTTCATTTATTTATTTCGAAGCATTTTCTGGTAACTTTATATTGGTTCCTTTATTTGAAAAAACCGGCTTTATGAAAACCATTCTGCACTCATTCAGGTTTTACACAGTGGCAAGCAAACGCTATAAAGTTACAGTCCAGGACACTTATTGATTTAGCAAACTAATAGGATGAAAAGCAAATATCATTCTTGCATAAAAATGATTGTAGCAAAAACTTGGAATAATAAGACTTGAACATGTAAATCACTCCTTGATCCATTGGTTGGGTGACTGATGATGTATTTGGGGGTAGCATGAGTATATTCATATTAGATAATTTAATTTTTGAGTGACATACAGCATTATCTAAAAATATCAGGACAATTCTATTCTGAGATTGTATATCTGCATTAAGATAACGCAACCACTGCTCGATTATCTCAGTTGTCATCCAGGCTTTTTTTTTAAATTAAATTTCCACATGGCAGGTAATAAAAAAATGTCTATGTTCTTAAAACATTGTGGTTTTTGAGACTTGCAAATAACTAAAGGTTTCATAATTTCCCCAAACATATTACCACATATAAGCACTGCTAAACGATCCTTTGCTTTTTTTCCTCCAGCACATGACTCACTCTTTAGTACTATCAACTTAAGTAGGAAAACCTCTAAATTAAAAAAATCCATATCGTCTGCATTTTACATGTATTTTGCTTCATATCCAGCAGTCAGTCCAAATTTTTTGTTTCCACTCAACCACAGTTTCTTGATAAACGTAATTTCAGTTAGAAAAAATAGACCACTGAACAGTTCACATTTACAACATTTTACTATCAGTACATTACATATCTAATCTTTGCTACACTATACATCTACACGCTTAAAAGAAAGTAATAAATAAATCACTATGGCAATCATGAAACTGAATTAAATATTTTTATTTTCCGTCTTATAGAGCTATAATTACTTTGCAAATTGAGTCACAAAAATGGACCGTTTCTGTTTTGTTGAGGTTCCATCTTAGAGAGGTCAATTTCATATATTATTTGAACTAGGACTATTGACATTTTCTGTTGTAAGGATTCTGTTTAATAGAGGGTCAATTATAGAGAGGTTTTACTGTATTACATATTATATTTACACTAATAAATACTATACAACCAGAATAATTGAATATTGTTCATTAAGTATTATTTCCAAATTTAAAATAAAATTAACACATTGTTTTATTTCATTACAGAATGTAATAATAAAGTAAAATCAATTTCAAATAGAATACCTATTTTTCTTTATGAAAAAAATGCTATTAAAAGATGCAAAAGAAAAAGTATCTAAGAATAATAGATGTAGCACTATGATATTTTTAAAAAAGTTTTTTATTTAGAATTATCTGTTAAGAAAAATAAAAAAGGACATTAGAACAAAAATTTGCTGGGAAGCTAAGTAAGACTGTTCCCTAATACTATTGAATTACTATACATTCAAAGTTTGTCAAATTATACTACTTGAAAAAATATTTTTAACTAGTATTTCTAATAAACATAATAAAAAAAAGTTTAAATTTACTTGTTCCAATTCTTTTCCGGCAGTCTTTAATAGATTACATAAACACTCGAGTGGTACTTCGGCATATTTAGTAGATAAATTCTGAACGCATAACAACATAATAATTGGAGGAAGAAAATTTTGCTTAAATAATTCACCAATAAACCTAACAAAAAAAAAAAATATAGGAACTTGAAATTACTTTTTAGTATTTGATTTATATTTTACTGGCAATTTCCTACAGAACGTTTGCATAATTTTCTTTTATGTTCTAAAAACTCTAGTTGAAGTTCTTTTTTCTTTTCCTAGAAAATATAATAAATATAAATAAACTAATTATATTTAATGGTGTCAGTATATTAAAAATACTTGATCTTTGCACAAATGGATTTTAGTATATTTCTTAGCAGATTCCATTTCTTGATCTTTGTCTAATTCAAATAGGCTCTGGCATTTATTTACAATCAAATGTTTAAACATTGCTTTTTTACCATTATTAGAAATTACTTGTAAGGATTTCATAGCTGAACATAAAGATGCACAAAGAGGGGCAAACCATTGTTCTTCAATTGCCTATAATTAAATGGACAAATTAGTTCCATACATTTATTCCTGTTAATAATAAACTAAAAAGACCAGAATTTTCAAAAGGTCATAAATCATAATAAATGATGAATGAAAAAACATGTTTTGGGAGTATAATTGACTAGTTTTAAAATCATTATTACCTTCTACTAAAGCATGTGTCTTAAATTGTATCAACTTAAAAACCAATATAGCCAATCATATTATAGACGTAGTAAATAATAAACATTATTACAATAGATTTAAATAAACACAATAATAGAGGTTTTGTATTTTGTAGTATTATAAATACTATCAATTATATCATCATTTATAATAAAATAAATAACATTTAAAATGGCTATAATATTAGTTACACCATTAGTTAATCAATTGTTGTACGGAATATTTTTTTATCTATTATTATATATATATATATATTATATTACCTTTTCAAAAACTAAATCAACAGTTTTCTCTAGACAATACATATTGTCAATAGGCAATGCCTTAAAACGCTGAATTATTGAAGGCATATTATGAGGGGATATTTCATTCAAAATTGATCGAACATTTTTGATTAATTCCTGTAAAAAATGTAATTTAGATATAAATATTAAAAATATCAATAATAGGTGTACTGTTATTGTTTTAGTTTTTAAAATACCTAATACATCGCGTGAATACCAATATACCATAAGCATACGCAGACTACAATTTCTGGTCAAACCTGAGATATTTTAGGGCCCAATTCTTGGATAGAGCCTCTTATTATTTTGTATCGTATACATTACACAATCTACTTATAAATTTACAACTCGAATAATATTTATTATTTCAATGTAATTAAAAACAAATTTGTTGGGATAAAAAATTGTTTTCATGTTATCATATATTATAATATATAAATCCCATAACATAAAATAAAAAAAAAAAACATATAAGTTAGCAAATAAAATAATTCAAGTCATAATAAGTTTTTACTATTAAACTTTATTTATTTGTTGTCATTTAATATCCAGGACTAATTAACACAGTATTTCATATTGTCAACTAATAGAAATGATTAAATAATAATAAAATTAGGGTTAACAGAGTTTTAAATGGTCAAACTTATTGCCCAACATAAATACATTTAAGTCAAGTATTGTGGGTGTAACAAGTATTATGTTACCTAAAGAGACATAACTTAAATGTATGGCAATAAATCCAATCATTTAAAACTCTGTTCACCCTAATTTTGTTATTATTTAATCATTTTTATTAGTTGACAATGTAACACTAGTACACTATACATACTAATTAAGTCATGTATATTTAATGACAAATAACTATCACTACTATTCATCTTGTAGTGTTCTCATACAAATTAATGTGTCACATCACTTTTTTTTAAGTTATATCACTTCTATGTCAAATTACCACTGACATGTAATAAATAATAATTATAGAGAGCGGATTTTTAGGTTTTTACATAAATTTATTGAGAACAGAATTAGAAGAAAAATGTATTTCGCATATTAAAGCATATTTCAGAAATTAGAGAATATTTAGCTTATATTTAATATTTTTGAACAACATTTAGTATTATTTATTGTTAAATTGTACATATTTGTTAATTTCTTCAATTTAAAAATATTTTTTTCAAACACTTTTTTTGTTGTCACTTAAAGAATGAATGTATACAAAATTAATTAAACTGCATATTATCAACGAAAATACTCACTACTTATTTGTTATATTGTATAACCTTTATATTTATGCTTAGTTTTAGCATATTATTGGCGATTGCGTATTTTATGAAAAACAATTAAAAAACATATCGCACCATATTCAAAATTTATTTACATTAAATTATAATATATTATAATATTAAAGATAACTAGGAGGTTCCGTCTCCTGATTACTTAGCTCACTTACACCCTAGGGGTCAAGATATCCCCTTTCTGTCTAAAGCGGTTTCACTTACCAATTGTTTTACTTGTGATTGGAATTCATTTGGAACTTTTTCTCCTCCTTCATTATTCTAGATTATATTTTAAAAAATTGTTTACATTGAATTTATATTAATTATTTGTTATTGAAAATGATTTGTAACAATAATAATTCTTAAGTTGGATTAAAATAAAACCTAACTCAACAAATTGTAGTTATAAACTGGGATTTGCACTTATAAGCATAGCAGTATTAATGGTTTGACATAAAATCAAGCAGAGTGCTATGGAAGCGAATGTCATGTTACATGAAATGTATTTTGAAAATTTCATGTCTATAAATAGCTCAATATGAGTAAAAATGTAATAAAAATGTATAAAAAAGTTGAAGACTTCTTACATTACTGCATTGTGTTAATAAATTGAAATGAAAAATTAATACTAAATTCTTATCTAAAATTCTTAACTATTGTTCCAAATTACAATGCCACAGTTATACGGGGAATACCCAGATACCGATCGTGACTGTTTCTAGCCTCTGCCACCAGTCTCAAATCACAATTCGAAATCCGCACAAGGCTGCAATACCAAATTACCAACACGCTACCGTTGGTCGGTGGTCGGTGGTCGGTGGTCGGTGGTCGGTGGTCGGGTGGTGTCGCACTGTCGCGTCAGCGGGCACTCGACGTGGACTGCGGATGACGAGAACCCCGGCGAGTACCAATAGGGTGGCATGGCGGCCAAGTGCCACGTGCCACGGGCCCAGGGCACCAGAAGGCCGGGGAGGACCCTTCAAAAAATGTGGCGATTTAAAAAAAAAACAGGTTTTATTTAGTAATTTTAGTTATTAATAAAACTAAGTTCTAGTAAAATTAAATCACTTTAAGGGGGCTGCCGGGCTGGAGCGTGTTTCATTTTCCGTCGAAAACATAGCTCACGACTTAAATCACTACGCCCAAATAATGTTCCAAACACGGATTTGTATTCGTAACTAAATTATCTATGCTTGACATTTTCATTTTTCTGATTTTTATATTTTTTTACTTAGAAATATACAAACAAAAAGAGCAAAAATAGATCATATTCATAGTTCAAATTGAAATAGATTGATATAGAATATGAAAAATGTACGACAGTCAAGGCATAGTAAATGTAGAGGAGCCAGAGGAGGATTCAAATCTTTCAAAATTGAAATCGGAACATCCTACTATGAGTAATGAATAATGATTGAAGTCACTGGCAGAGTTTTTATGAAAAAAAAATCTTTGAAATTTTATAACGTAATATGTGATTGACACGTGCATGCGCAGGTAACATTACAGACGTACATATCCGGCGTCACTATGATGCCCATATACAACGTAATTGGTATTCTTCCGGGAATCGTACACAACTAGTATGATTATTAGTATTATAATATGTACAGAATATAATATTATTATACATAAAGGTTTAGGTAATAGCAGGTTTTATATTTTAGCTATATAAGTTAATATATTATTATGCTTAGCCGCTTAGGTATTCAATTATATTTTACATTATACAGGAATAGTTAAACATGTTTGTCTAGAGTTCTAGACACTGGAAATATTGAAATTTTTCTAAAATAGTTTAGAACTACTTACAAATATTAAAATATGAGATTTATTTCTTTCGTACACGTCAAGACGTAAGTAGTACAGTCGTGCAGACACAAATAGTATGAAACCTAAGCTGGAACTTTTTTATTTGGAACATCTTTTGCCGAGCTTGATAAAAGAAGAAATATTAATGACGAATTAAAAATAAATTGTTATAATTAATAAAATAACGGATTAATGGTAGACAATACACATTTGATATGAATTATGATATTATCCATGTAAAACTTTTATAACCTAACCAACTATTGTTAAATTATTCAAAATTTTAAAAATAAAGTCATCATTTTTGTACCACTAACCCATATTTATATTGTTGAATGCAAATACTATTGTCTTGCGGAGGTGTCATTGCAGTACATGAAAACTGTGTCTGGCTAAAATTACCGCCACTTCAATATATGTGGAGGAAATATGTGTGAGGCACATTAAGGTAGCCGGGTGGTTATACTATTAGAATTGTAATTTGTAGTATTGTTATTTAGCTATAAGCCTATAAATCAATTTACCAAGAAGTATTGTTTATTATTTATAACCATGTAATTAAGTATAAACAATAAAAAATTAATAAATAATAATATTATTATGTTATCGTCATTAGTATTATTGTAGATTAGTGGAAATTGCAGCATGTCTATTGTCTAATGACAACGGCTAAAATATCAAACCGGTTTTTAGACGAATAGACGATAGTGTAGTTCGGAGAGTACATTATTACGAATTACACACACGAATCTTCATTTACTTCCAACACATTTACACAATTGCACATGGCATAATATACTGCAATATAAAATGCCCATGTAGTTTTTACTCCTTAGAATGTATTACGCTCCAGCCTCCTTAAAGTAAAATAAATGTAATAACTAGAAAAATGACCGATACCCCCAATACGCTTATAGGTCAATTATAGATTATATTTTTATGTGCAGCGTGCCAGCGTTTGCCCGCATACGCGCGGCAATTGCGATATTACTAAATTAGTATAGATGTATAAATATAATAATTATTTTGGAACAGAAATAACAAGAAAACGCACTCTATATTTAGAGCACGGTTTAAGATAGACTATCTTAAACCGTGATTTAGGGTACAACCACAGATTATATTCCACAGATATATCAATATAATCTGTGATTAAACAAGATTTTCAAGAAAGAATTTGGAGTGTATCGATACGTATCGGTCCAATTTTGAGCGTTCAGGTTCAAGATGTTACACGTGCATTATACATTATACAAGCGATACGTACCGACCCGTATCGGACTCGGACTCCGATACGAGGTGCCCGAGGTGGTACGTAACTATTTCGTATTGATACGTATCGAATTTTTCTTTTTGAAAATACTGCCAGACTGGAAATTGAAATAGCCGTCGCTTTTTCGATATTATTTTGTCGTCAGTCGTGAGTCGTCACTCGTTGAACCAAATAATTAATATTGTGATCATGTCGAAAAAAGTAGGTACCTATGAGTAGTGGCTATGAAAAGAGTAAAAAAAAATGGAAGAACAAGAAAAAGTATCAAAATAAGTGGTTATTTGTGTTAATTAAAAAATGAGATACATATTATAATGTGTAAACAAAAATGACTATATTATTATTCATGATAGTATAATAAATATGTTTTTATTATTTATTACCTTTTATAACAGGGGTGAGTCTAGACATACATTGTGTGAGTAACTGCATGCTCATCATATCACAAATTTGTAAGATCAAGGGCCCGCTGGATTTTTTTGTCACGGGCAATCGAATACAATGTACATGTACTACTGTATAATATATTAATATCCTGTACCTAATATTAATGTAAATATAAAAATTAAATTAAAAACCATTTCAAATTAATTTTGTATTATAATTTTTGGCATTTTAAGTGCATACTTAATCCAATTTTTTTGACATTTTTTAGGGTCTTTAGCACATTAATTCACAGCCCTATTTACTAGTATCTCTACGGACGAAAAATTAATGTTTTTGTGGTTCCAATTCATAATTGGGAAGTA